ATACAACAAAAAATAAAATAAAAAAATTGCAAAGTTCAAAATTTAGAAAAATCAAATACTAATTTATTTTTGCTCCCAATACAGGTGGCCAATATTTGCGGTTGAATGTATTGAAATATTTAAATATTTGGTTGTTGTTGGTTTTTTGGTTATTGGCCCAATAATAATTGTATATTTTTATAAACAACAACCACACACACACTTTGGCTACTCACAAGTGCCGAAATGTGCGAGTGAGTGGGTCACATCAATTCTTCATTGATTTTTTTGGTCTCGGTTTGGGGCTGTTGTCTGTGGTGGTGCGGTGTATAACAAAAAAATAAGCGCTAAAATTTTGAGAAAACAAACAGCTGCTATATATTTTGTGTGTTTTGTTATTGTTGTTGTGTTTTTTTATTATTTTCCCAGTCCAGTTGAATAAACAATATAAATATGGTCATCCGTATGATCATTAAGGCGGCAGGGTGAATCATGTTGTTGTTTGTGTTTTTATTGCAAAATTCAAATATGTATTAGAAATAATTAAAAAGAAATATTTTCAAATATTTATTAAATAATATAAAAAACTGAAACATTAGGGACACCAAAGCATATGATTGGGAAAGGGGAGATAATTAGGGAGTGCAGTGAACTCTCGATAATGTGAACACTTAAATTGGCATTAAAATGTTGAAAAGTTCAGAGAATTAGCGGTGGATTAGCTGGTCGAAAATATGCACAAATTCGAAAATATGAACTACCCCGACATTAATTAGTTGACATTATCGAGAGTTCGCTGTTTTGGATGTTCACACTATCGAGAGTTCCCTGTATATAGAAGACTTCTACAAGCTAAGTGGGATTTTCTAAAAGTCAAGAGTTTATAAATAAGAAAAGTGTGGATCCATTAAGAAAAATAATCTATTCTATTAGATTATCTGATAATCTATTAGGCCAGTTGGGCTTCTTATAGGCGTTCCATTAGACCAATAGGTCGTTTTTAGGACCTATTGATCTTTAAGTAAACTTATTGGACCTCTTTGGAGCCAGTTGTTACTCTGTCTGATCTCTTGATGATCTCAAAGACTAAATGGTCTTCTAAAAGTCCAGTTGGTCTTATATAAAAAATAGTTTTCAATAAGAATAATATATCATTTATTTGACCACTTGGACTTTTATATGACCACATAGTCGTCCATAACACGGCTTGGTCTTCTAAAACAATTTGTCACCCATTTGACCGGCTGGGCTTCTAATAGACCAGTTGCCCTTCTATAAGACCACTTCATCCACTATAAGTCTCCTTGGTTCTCTATAAGATCACTTGATCTTCTATATTGGCCCTCTATAAGAATATTAAAAACATCTAGGCCTTGTGTCCTAATGGTCCTTGAAAAAAAATATTTAAAAAAAATCTACGCCTTGTGGCCTAATAGTCCTTGAAAAAATATTTAAAAAAATCTACGCCTTGTGGCCTAATAGTCCTTGAAAAAAATATTTAAAAAAATCTACGCCTTGTGGCCTAATAGTCTTTGAAAAAAATATTTAAAAAATCTACGCCTTGTGGCCTAATAGTCTTTGAAGAAAAATATATAAAAAATCTACGCCTTGTGGCCTAATAGTCCTTAAAAAAAATATTGAAAAAAATCTACGTCTAGTGTCCTTGAAAAAAATATTTAAAAAATCTACGCCTTGAAAAAAATATTTAAAAAAATCTACTTGGATCTTATAAGAACCCTTGATCTTCTATAAGACTAATTGGTCCTCTATAAGACCACTTGTAGTCATTGAAGAAAAATATTTAAAAAATCAGCACCTTGTGGCCTAATAGTCCTTGCAAAAAATATTTAAAAAATCTACGCTTGTTATTAGTCTTATAGAAGACCACTTCGTCCTCTATAAGATCATTTGTTTCTGTATAAGATCACTTGGTCCTCTATAAGACCACTTGGTCCTCCATAAGACCACTTGTATAGGACAAGACCACTTGATTGATGTTCCCTGCAATATAAAAGTCCTCAAAAAAAAGCCGTACTTAACCCAATATGAACCCCTTTGTGGATTCCCTAAAACTTGAGTCCATAGTATCATAAACTGTTAGGGATCCCCATGAGGTGTGTGTAACCCTGGACCCCCACGCATTCCAACCTATCCGAGGTAATGGGGCTATCATCTATCGTTGCATAAAAACCCGCCACCTTGAATTATGGTTGGTGTCCTTGCTTATTTTAGTGTTGCCTTTCTCTTCTTGGTGTCGCTATCTCCTAATATTCCATTTATTTTCATTATTAGGTGTCCGTAACCCTTGGATCCAACGCATTGCAACCTGTCCTAGGTAATGGGGCTACCATCTATTGTTGCCCAAAAAATACGCCACCTTGAATTATGTTCCCTAGTTGGTATCCTTGCTTATTTTAGTGTTACCTTTCTCTTCTTGGTGTCGCTATCTTCTGATATTCCTATTTTGCTATATATTCTCATGTGTTGATGCAGGAAATTATACAGGATTTTACTTCGAGGGGCCCACTAGTATAAAATGAAAAAAATCGCTGTTGCAAAAATAAATTTATGATGTGTCCGTAACCCTAAAGCCCCACATATTGCAACCTATCCTAGGTTATGGGGCTACCATCTATCTTTGCTAAAAATAGTGTTGCCTTTCTCTTCTTGGTGTCGCTATCACCTGATATTTGTATTTTGATATACCTTCATGTGTTGATGTTAATATCGAGGTTGAGTATTAGAATTCCATTTATTTTCATTATTAGGTGTCCGTAACCTTTGGGCCCCACGCATTGCAACCTGTCTATAATACGGCTACCTATCTATCTATCTATCATTGCCTTGAAATACGCCACCTTGAACTGTGTTCTATGGTAAGTGTCCTTGCTTATTTTAGTGCTGCCATTCTCTTCTTGATGACGCTCTCTACTGATATTCACATTTTGCTATATATCCTCATGTGTTAATGTTTATATCGAGGTTAATTATTTGAATGTAATATATTTTGATTATTAGCCCATTAAAATATATAGTACCTTTTCCTATCAAAAATTCCTAATTTTCTTAGAATAAATAATAATAATTTTTTTACCATTAAGTCACAGTATTCCAATTGTCTGTCTACATTTGGTAAGGATTTGATTAACTTCTACGTCTATGACGGTGCTTGCCATTCGTGAACGCACGAAGGACAAAATAATTTCCCTGTCCTGTGTACAATTAAAGTGAAAAAGTGGGTGGGTGTGTGGTTAGTAATAAAACTCTAAGTATCCCTCACATAAACTTGTTGTGGGAAACAGCAAAACAACAGTTTTTCATTTCAGTTATTAAATATTTAATGGGAAATTAAATGGTTCGTTTTTTTTTTTCAAGTACATAAAACAAATGGACAAGGTTAATGTTTATATGCCATCATTGGGCTAATTTTATATTGTTTTTATATGAGACCACTGATATTCTAGACACAAAAGACATTTTATTCTTCAAGACATTCTTGATTTCATTCAATTAATTATGGAAAAATCCGAAATGAAAAAAATGTTTGGCAAACTCCTCCATAATTCTTATCAGAATTAATTTTTTCTCTCTTTGATATGATCGTTTCATTTGTTGTTTGGTTTTTGATGTTTTTTTACCTTTGTTTGATATACTTCTTTTATTTTTGAAATTTCTAATTGAATTTTCAAAGATTAGATATAGGTACAAAATTTTTGGGTTATTTTTAAATAAAAAAGCAAACAAAAATGAATGGTAACGATTTTTTGTTAATCTCTTCAATTAATTAAACCCAGTCGCCAGTTGAAAAAAAATAAAAGGGCCAATACTTTCAAAGTACCCAACTAAAATTGGGGCACAATATAAGTTAACGTTGATAAAAAAACTAAATGATTTGAAAGCCTTTTGAATACGTTTATCGGTAAATTAGGTTTCTATAGTTGAATGATATTTTGTAATTAATTTGAAGCTTTTCAAATAATGTCTTTTGTAATAGGGGGCTTTTTAGTTTTTGTTAGTGACGTCGATTTACCTGCATTAAACAGAATAGCATTTAAATTTATTGTATATCGGTCATAATTAAATTTCGCATGATAACAGGGCATAGTATCGAAACTCCGCCAGCTTGAATCTTGGAGAATGTGTCTTGTCGCTGACAGTGTTTTAAAATTCTAATCGTTTATTTTTTTTTTTCAAAAAGTTCCGGTAGAACTTATCGATTTTCATAATATTCAGACCAACAACAATTTTTTTTTTTTAATTATGTTACAGTTTGAAAAAGTTAAAAATTTGGCATTGAAATCGTTCTTCTTATTTCAAACCTGAGGCATTTCAAATAAAGTATTTCTTAAATTTGATTCAATGTTTTACCAGTTTTGTGGGTTCAAGAACGGGTTTTGAGTAAAAAGTTGTAAAACTTTTAAAATTAGTAGATTATTTTAGGTTCTGGAACGGAACAATTGATTTGTTTCTATTGGGAAAAAGTCGTTCATTATTTCTGAAAGGCAGATTTGAGGGTTGTATTTAAAGTTTTTACAAAAGACAAGTTTCCAGTTAGCATATTCAGGTTTAACAGCTGATTGTTTAAATCAGCTGTTTTATGCATTTTGTAGATCATATGTTTTCTTGCAAGATTTGTTTATCAAAATTTTGACACGACAGAACTCAAATACACAAAAGAATTTCCAGCGTATTTTTCACAGAAAATAAACAATCACACCTAATGTGTCAAATAAGCTTCAGATCAAGATTTTAAATGTTGTTGAAAAAGGGTTAGACTTGAATATCCATCCATATGGAGATTTGATTTGAATATTTTTTTTCTGTTTTTTTTTCACAGTTGTCTTTTAAGATTCTCAAAATTTATATTTTCCATTGAGTTGGATATATTCCACAAACAAATTACATTGCTATTCCAATCAACACAACTGTACTTAAACGGAATTCTTTACAATTTCACATTCAAAATTATTTTTTTTTTTAATAAAAAATCATATACATATTTTCCAATTATCAAAACTTACAAATTGTACAAGTTTAATAATGCCAGGAACCGTTTGGAAATATCCAATATTAATCCTCAGGGCCGACAAACCGCCACCTGTACCACCGGGAGCAGTGGTTTGTGTGGTTTGGGTGCGTTCAACGGTAATTACGGTTTCCACCATTTTGTTAAGATATGAAAATTATTATTTTTTTAATATTAAACAAAAAACTGAATTTATTATTTTTTATTTTTTTAGTTTCGAAAAATTCGTTGTTTTTTCTCTTTTAATTTTTGGTGTCAGGTAATATGACGTTTTTATCTTGATTCAAAAATATTTATCGTTCGTCGTCGTTTCACTTGTTTGTTTTGGATTTATTTTTTTGATTTTTCTTCTTCTTCTTGTTTTTCTCCTCTTGGCTCTTTTTCTGTTAACTTGATTTTGTTTTCCCGTCCAATTGCTTCGTAGACAACCAATATGAGCGACGCACGTTTTATTACTAGCACGACTAGCCAGCCTTACTAATTTCAGTTGCCTTGTTTCTGGCCTGTCTGAAACACAAAAACAACAACAACAATAAACCACTCGATTATTTGATTCTGCTGCTGCTGCCGCTGCTTGCCTCACTGACACTGTCAGTACACGCAATAAGTTAACAAGACAACAACAACACAACTGCGGTCGCAGTTAACGTTGACGTTACGCCTGCCTTTGTAGTTGTTATTGTAATTATTATCGTTGTTGTAGTTGTTGTTGCAATTTGGTATCCACAATTCTACTACTACTCAAATCTCTCATTGAAAATTCAAATTACCTCTTTCGTTGTGTGTGTGTGTTTGTGTGCCAGTCAACAGGTATTTTTTTATTGGGGATTTGTTTGTGTTTTCTCTCTCCCCCAAAAAGAGTTGAACGGTTTTACTCTCTCGTTGCTTGTTTGGGGGATCTCTGTTATTGTGGAACATATGAGATCATTTGTATCTTCTTATATGTTTCATTCTCCATGTTATTGTGTGTGCATATTTGAATGCATCGATTAAACGTTTTAACTTTTTGAATCATTCAGATTCAATACAAAATCGTAGTAAATATAACAGTGGGGTAAAAATGAAAAGAATTATATCTTGCTCTGGCATTAACTAAGATTATTGACTTCGCTCGAAAATTAGCAAAATGGCGGAACTAGGAAAATTATGTTTTGTAAAATCGCATATTTTCGACCTTCACCGATTGGATTTATCCTAGTTCATATGTTGTAGGTCCAGAATAATTGGTCAAAACTTGAAACCGATTGTTTTCATAGTTCAGACCTGTCGTGTCCGCAAAATCAATCGTTTATATTGTTCAATTTCCAATTGAAATTTTAAAGAGACATTCTTGAAATGTTATTGGTTCGTACCGAATTTTTTGTGGGAGAGGTGGAAATTTAAAATACCTAAAATCGTTAGGAATATTCAAAATTTAACTTCGAGATGCCTTACTTTCTTTTTCCACTGTAACATTTCAATCATTTTTATAACATGAACCATGAGTCGAAGACCCCACTTCATGTCCGTCTGATTTGTTAAATGGATGGTAGATCGTTGAAGAGAATATTACGCTTTCAAGAAGTCTTTATAGGACCACATATTTCCTATATAACCATAATGCTCCATTTTCGGATTAAAAAGGTTTTTGTCCGATTTTCAAATCGAAGTGGCTTTAATTGTGTACTCCATATTTGTATACCCTTCACCATACTGTGGTAACAGCCAAAAGGAAACGAAATAGACACATGGATCATTTTGAGAATATGCATAGAATTAGATGCGTCCGTCTGTCCATGTTTCCATAAATTTGTCCCATAGTACGCAGACGACTCTGCCCCAACGGAAATTAAATTTATCATATGTTGCAGAAAGACATGAGTATGTTCCTTCGTGAGTATGGTTTAAAGCTGACATTGTTCTTTGTTGAAGTTTAGTCCCCATGCAAAGATCTAATTCCGATTAAGTGCATGTCTTGACATAGGGCCATACAAAGGTCCCTTTCAAATGTTCTTAATAACTTAATTGTCTGACATAACCCCTATGAAACGGTAGCGTTCGATTTTTGGTCTTTTCGAGGTTTTAATGAAATTTTCTAAACGATGTGTCTGTAATTTGGCGTTCCATTTTCTTGGTGCGTAAAATGTCCTGTCCAATTTTAGATTTCTGTCGAAGTGCATTTTCCAAACGAAGTGGCTGTAATTGGTCATTTAGGGTTATTGGAAGAACGTTATTAATAATTTATTTGAGCTTATATCTATCTTGATGTGATGTTGGAAGTTATCAAGCTTCTACCGTTAATATTAAAAAACATTGTGCCACAAATGAAAAGTCCCCGGTCTGGTAAATCGATGGCGACCATATTCACCCTATGTAATGTTAACCAGGTTAGGTTGAAAAAAGGGTGGATGATACCACTTAATATCCAACATGAGAAGGACATACACATAAGCCAATTGACTTCTCCCAGAATAAGTATAGCCACATCCCTTACGTTTTCGATATATAGTAAATATAATAAAACACATTTATTGTTTTTTTTTCAAATGATCGTAATTCAATGTTCAATAAATTTCAATACGCCCCTCCAGCCTTAAGCCATGTAGAAGGAAGTTTGGACATTTTGAATCCATGGAATATAGGCAGAGACACGAGTATAAATCGATGGCATTTGAGCCATGCCACATGGGATGTAACCCCACGAAACAATACCAATCAACTCAGCATCACCCTTGGTGGCGAATTCCTTAACCAATGGACCACCAGAATCACCATTGCAGGCCGAAATGCTTTGTTGCAAAGAATCGGAGCACACATTAGTTTCATGCAGAGGAGCATCAGCTGGCAAAACTTCCTTGCACTTATTGAATTCAACAATTTCGGTGGTTACAGTTTGCAAAGTACTGGCAGCGGAGAATGAGAAAGCCTTAGGTTGTCCCCAACCATACAAATGGGTCTCACCATCGTGGATTTCTTCATAGGCTGGCAAAGCAACAGGTTTCACCCATTCATTGAATTCGAAAGGTTCCGACACATGCAAAATGGCAATATCATAGGGACCAACACCACCGGTATACTGTTCATGGACTACACCATAATCGACAACACGAGCTTGGGTCTTTTCATCGAAGGTAGTACGTTTATGGAGACCAGCAACAATACCCATACCCTCTGGTTTGCTAATGCAATGGGCAGCGGTCAGGACCCAATTTTTGTTAATCAAGCTGCCACCGCAGATGTGTGAGTGCTTGGCAGTGCGACTCAACGACACAATATAGGGGGCAGAGTGGGGTTCAGCATCCTCGCCCTTAATAATGTGGCCGGTGGCAAAACTGGGGATTAAACGTTGGGCCACCGATGACAAGGACCCGGCATTGGCACAGGCCACCAACGCCAAAAGAACCACCACAAAAACTTTCATGTTGTCACTCTAGAGAAAGAAAAGAAAACTGATTGATGTTCGATGTGTAGTTGATGAGGTCTTTTATACTACTCCCGATTTGCTAAAATCGCCTATCTGGAGTTTAGTAGTCAAGATTAGTATTATTTTGTTTTGAGAATAAGATTTACAACCATCTCTATCAGCAGTAAATTTGTAAAATGTTTATAGGGTTACGGATTTGGCGATGCATCGGCGATTTAATTTCTTATCAATCCGATAATGGCGATGCAATATCAAATGCATTTTGAAGTATTTGTTATTGAATTGAAATTAAACATCGTTAATCTTAAAGGGTTTGCCAATTCTACTCCCATACACAATTCACAATACAAATTGATGATCTAGAAATAGAAGAAGTTAGGCAGGTAATTTATAGCTGGTTATTGTATAGCCAGGCGGTATAAACTTAGATATGACACCCTTCCGTGGAAGGAGGAGCTCATTCAGATGCTCTATAGACGAAATACCTTCTATAGACCCTTTCGTGGAAGGAGAATCTCATTCAGATGTTCTATAGACGAAATACCTTCTATAGACCCTCTTTAGACCCTTCCATTGAAGGAGGATCTCATTCAGATGTTCTATAGACGAAGTACCTTCTACAGACCCCCTTTAGAACTCTTAATTATAAGACCCCTCCGTGGAAGGAGGAGCTCATTCCGATGTTCTATAGACGAAAGATCTTCTTCAGGCCTTCTATAGACCCTCTTTAGAACTCTTATAACCAGAATTAATTTCTCTGGCCTTATACAAACAATATACCTTCTTCAGACCTTTTATAGACAAAATATATTCGTTAGGTCTTCTATAGACAGAAGACATCCTTTAATTCTACTATAAAACAAAGGTTTTCTACAGATGTTCTTTAGATAGAAGACCTTCAGGTTTTCTATAGACAGACCATTTTTTTCAGACCTTATATAGTGCGAAGTTTTTTTTTCAGGACTTTTAAATTATAGGTTATTTGTTATGTAGGCCATTCCTCCCTATAACGATTTTTTTAATAATTTTATAACAATGTTTTCAAAAATGTTTAAAAAATTATTGCATGGCCTCTATCGATTTGATAAGCAGTCTCACAATCGATGCATTCTAAATTTACGATCATATCAATAGTCTGCAAAAATATTGACCGTTCGTCTGCCCAAACAAAGATATGGTTGTAAATCTAATTCTCAAAACAAAATAACACTAATCTTGACTACTAAACTCCAGATAGGAACTTGACTAAAGCCAATTGGGAGTAGTATAAAAGTCCTCTACAAATACACATCGAACATCAATCAGTTTTCTTTTCTTTCTCTAGAGTGACAACATGAAAGTTTTTGTGGTGGTTCTTTTGGCGTTGGTGGCCTGTGCCAATGCCGGGTCCTTGTCATCGGTGGCCCAACGTTTAATTCCCAGTTTTGCCACCGGCCACATTATTAAGGGCGAGGATGCTGAACCCCACTCTGCTCCCTATATTGTGTCGTTGAGTCGCACCGCCAAGCACTCACACATCTGTGGTGGCAGTTTGATTAACAAAAATTGGGTCCTGACCGCTGCCCATTGCATTAGCAAACCAGTGGGTATGGGTATTGTTGCTGGTCTCCATAAACGTACTACCTTCGATGAAAAGACCCAAGCTCGTGTTGTCGATTATGGTGTAGTCCATGAACAGTATACCGGTGGTGTTGGCCCCTATGATATTGCCATTTTGCATGTGTCGGAACCTTTCGAATTCAATGAATGGGTGAAACCTGTTGCTTTGCCAGCCTATGAACAGATTCATGATGGTGAGACCCATTTGTATGGTTGGGGACAACCTAAGGCTTTCTCATTCTCCGCTGCCAGTACTTTGCAAACTGTAACCACCGAAATTGTTGAGTTCAATAAGTGCAAGGAAGTTTTGCCAGCTGATGCTCCTCTGCATGAAACTAATGTCTGCTCCGATTCTTTGCAACAAAGCATTTCGGCCTGCAATGGTGATTCTGGTGGGCCATTGGTTAAGGAATTCGCCACTAAAGGTGATGCTGAGTTGATTGGTATTGTATCGTGGGGTTATATTCCCTGTGGCATGGCTCAAATGCCTTCGATTTATACTCGTGTCTCTGCCTACATTCCATGGATTCAAAATGTCCAAACTTCCTTCTACATGGCTTAAGGCTGGAGGGGAGTTTTGAGATGCGTTTAACGATGAAATAATAAAAGAATTTACGAACATTAAAACAAATTGGAACTATGATTTATTATGTTTTGTATAAAAGGGGAAGGGTTTAGACTGTCTAATTAAAGTCACTTCGATTGGTAAATTGGCCTAGTATTATAGAAATCCTAAAATAAGACTTGTCTCCTATAGGAGAACAATGTAAAAACGTTGACTTACATTAAATATTTTCTGCAAATATATTGCTTACTCTGCACGGAACACGGAATATTATATTACAGCCACCTCGACTAAATGCTGATAAATTCTTAAAAATGCATAAAATAGATATAGATATATGGTAGATATACCAAAACTTGGACCGATATATCAATACCGAATATTCCCCGAGTAACGACGACTCTTGATGTATTAAGTGGACTAATTCAATATATTCTCTATTTAATGGTGGATGGCATAAAAACAATATCTATAGGAGATATTTGAAAACCGCCAACCATTCACAACTACCTCCTGCACATTGAGGAACCAAGAAGCCACGATGTCTATTCGTTGAGCCATTCCCAATACTTTGTGTAACTTAGTTTGATGATGGTGTAGCACACAGTACATACATATTGAAATCGCACTAATGCTGGTAGTTATCCCTTGTCTGAACATAATATATTTGTGTCAATGCGAACTCCGTCGGAGCATCTACGCTAAACTGTAAATGCAGTTCAAAACACCCCCTGAAATTTTATTGTAAACCACCACCAATTCATTTTTTCTATTTTGGCTACATAAATATTAACCTATCGCGAACGAAATCCCGTGACGATCGGTCTATAATATCGTTCACAAGTAATAGTAAGCTGAACCTTTTCTGGAAACAGTCAGTTCGTTGAAATATTACAATCGACTTATGCAGATGCTACAAACTCTTTTAATTCCCACCACAACACTTTGAAATATTGACTACAATATATATGCCCTGTGTGCTGTACCATCATCATACTAAGTGACACAAAGTATTGGGAATCGGAAACTCATATACAATATATACAATTCTACTTCGAATTGGCCATGTCAATCTACTGATGTCAATATTTAAGATATAAATTTAACATTGGGCCATGCTATATATAGAATGTTTGGTATGGGTCTTGGAACATTTACGATTCTCAGAGTATAAAATATTCCTCTTAAGACATATGGAAGCTAAGTCAAAACTCAAATTTATAATGATATTCGAGTTTTGACTTGGCTTCCATATAAAAGTACCGATACGTCTGGATATATTATAGGCCTTAATTCCCAATCGAAGCGGGAGTAAATTGCAATTATATTTTATCCGTAGATAACTGATCTCCCTGTAGTAAAAATCCGAATATCAGTCTTTGGTTTAGAATAGTCTCCATATAATTATCAGTTTCGCCATATTTAGTAAATTTTTAAGACCCTAATCGACATTTCCCCTTTATTTCCAATATTAAAAAATCTTTTTTTTCAAATGTTCGTAATTTTTATTAATTCATCGTTCAACAAATTTCAATACGTCCTTCCATCCTTAAGCCATGTAGAAGGAGGTTTGGACATTTTCAATCCATGGAATGTAGGCAGAGACACGAGTATAAATCGAAGGCATTTGAGCCATGCCACAGGGGATATAACCCCACGATACAATACCAATTAACTCAGCATCACCTTTGGTGGCGAATTCCTTAACCAATGGACCACCAGAATCACCATTGCAGGCGGAAATGCTTTGTTGCAAAGAATCGGAGCACACATTAGTTTCATGCAGAGGAGCATCAGCTGGCAAAACTTCCTTGCACTTATTGAACTCAACAATTTCGGTGGTTACAGTTTGCAAAGTACTGGCAGCGGAGAATGAGAAAGCCTTAGGTTGTCCCCAACCATACAAATGCGTCTCACCATCATGGATTTCTTCGTAGGCAGGCAAAGCAACAGGTTTTACCCATTCATTGAATTCGAAGGGTTCCGACACATGCAAAATGGCAATATCGTAAGGACCAACACCACCGGTATACTGTTCATGGACTACACCATAATCGACAACACGAGCTTGGGTCTTTTCGTCGAAGGTAGTACGTTTATGGCAACAATACCCATACCCACGGGTTTGCTAATGCAATGGGCAGCGGTCAGGACCCAATTTTTGTTAATCAAGCTGCCACCACAAATGTGTGAGTGCTTGGCGGTGCGACTCAACGACACAATATAGGGGGCAGAGTGGGGTTCAGCATCCTCGCCCTTTATAATGTGGCCGGTGGCAAAACTGGGAATTAAACGTTGGGCCACCGATGACAAGGACCCGGCATTGGCACAGGCCACCAACGCCAAAAGAACCACCACAAAAACTTTCATGTTGTCACTCTAGAGAAAGAAAAGAAAACTGATTGATATTGTTGGTGCAATTTTTGTGAACTTTTATAGTACCCGAAAATTTGATTTGGAGTTTCACTTCGGTATCAGGAGTCTAGTAATCAAAATTGCTAATATTTTTTTGTGGGGTTGGAATTTTGATTTACAACCATCTCTTTGTTTGGGCCACACGATCGATCAATGACGTTGTGCCAGTCGGCTGCTGATATGGTCTTAGATTAAGAATGCATTGACGATTATCTTTCTTATCAATTTGTTCGATTTTCCAAAATATTTTGGATTTGACCACACAAAACAAAACACTTTTTTTGAACTTTATCATAGAATTGTAAATAAACCATAACATTAGACGGAGTGCAGTCTGGGTTTCCCAAAGAACTACCTAATTGAAAAAAAGCAGAATGCAAAGCAGCCAACTCTAAAGGTTTTGAACTCGTTATATCCTCTAAAAATACCTTTACATATAGCCTTAGCAAAATGTAGTGACAATTGCCCCTAAAAAATATTAAAATATTCGAACCTCTCAATGTATTTTAGGATATCCTACCATATCCGATCACATTCACCATTAAAATCATGACAATGTAAAGATCAACAGCTCCTCCCTCATACAGAGGTAACTTTTCCGGAGTATTTATTAATAGAGCAAACATAAACGTCACGAAAGTATACCTCCATGTTTTGTCATGGGCCTCACATATTTCTCCTGGTATTTTTAGTAGAATTTTCCGATCGATGTTGCTGTATTTAGGAATTTTTGGAATCTCAGAAAATAAAATACCTTCTTGTAGAAAATTTTTCAGTATAGATCCATGGTTTAACATAGCCTCATAATGGAAGTTCATAACAAACTGATGCTGATGAAATTTGGCATTCCGATTTCTCAGAAGATACAACATTTCCTGACAGAAAATGTTCATCGTAGAGCTATGTGTTGACATAGCTCTCCCAAGAAAACCTAATTTTTATTATTTTTAATTTTTTTTAATAGAAAATACATCCTCAGGTGTATCATATAAAACTCACGATCTAGTTTGGTATTTTTGTCCCGAATAAGACGCCACATTTTCCAATCGAAAGGACTGCAATTAGGCATTTCAAATTCTCAGGAAATACAGAGTATTCAGACCTTTGGATATGGTTTGTAACAACGGCATTGGGCCGGCGAAATTGATCGCTATAAGCAATCTGAAAATAGGAGATAACGTTTTTTTTCGGAATTTTGGATATCCTTACAATCGAAATGCTTGAAAAAAGGTATCATTATGAACTAATATACCTATTTTTTCTTAGCTCCCATGCCTTGAGGTTCTTATACAAAATACATTGATATATGATAATATCCATATTAGAAAAAATAATAAAGCCAAGTTATCTATGGTCTACAAGGGATAAAACAGGACCTTCATTAAAAAAATCCCATATTACACAAAGTCATTGCATTTTATTCCCAAACCTTTTTTATTTCTAGAAATAATTTCCAGAAAAAAAATAAATAAACAAAATATTTTTAGATCTCTTCATTCATAAATCATCAAAGAAATATCACAGTTATTGATTAGGTTCCACACACCAACAATTTGATAAGAACGAACTACGTTCGTCTATACCCAAAAAATCCACACTCTCCCGTTTTGCTATATAAACCCTTGCAAATCGCTACTCCGGTATCAGTCAGTCAATTCATAAAACAGTAGCAAAAAAATTAGTAGGAAACTATGAAAACTTTTGTGATCCTTTGTGTCTTGTTTGTGGCTTCGGTCAATGCTGGTCATTTGTCATCGGCGGCCCAACGTTTGATACCCAGCTTTGCCACCGGTTACATCATCAAAGGCGAAGATGCTGAACCCCATTCCGCCCCCTACATCGTTTCGCTGAGTCGTACCGCCAAACACTCACACATCTGTGGTGGTAGTATTATCAACAAGAATTGGGTCCTAACAGCTGCCCATTGCATTAGCAAACCGGTCGGCATGGGTGTGGTGGCTGGTCTCCATAAGCGTACCAATTTCGATGAAAAAACCCAATCTCGTGTTGTCGATTATGGTGTAGTCCACGAACAATATACCGGTGGTGTTGGTCCCTATGATATTGCTATGTTGCATGTGTCGGAACCTTTCGAATTCAATGAATGGGTGAAACCTGTTGCTCTACCCGCCTACGAACAGATTCATGATGGTGAGACCCATTTGTATGGTTGGGGCCAACCTAAGGCTTTTGTCTTCTCCGCTGCTAGTACCTTGCAGACAGTCACCACTCAGATCGTTGAATTCAATAAGTGCAAGGAAGTCTTGCCATCTGATGCTCCTCTGCATGAAACCAATGTCTGTTCGGATTCTTTGCAACAAAGCATTTCGGCTTGTAATGGTGACTCTGGTGGTCCATTGGTTAAGGAATTCGCCACCAAAGGTGATGCTGAGTTGATTGGTATTGTATCGTGGGGTTATATCCCCTGCGGTATGGCCCAAATGCCTTCGATTTATACTCGTGTCTCCGCCTATATTCCATGGATTGCTAATGTCCAGAATAATTATTACAAATCGATTTAAAGGAATTTGGATTTTTGTATGATGAAATTGAAATAAATACCGGAATTCCTAATAAAAATTATGAAAAAATAAAAATAATATTAGTTTTTATTGCGAGGGACCGTGGGTAATCTTAATAAAATATTGAAAATCATTTAATATCTCGAAATTTCCTAAATCCTCATATTGTGGCTTATATGTTTACTATGGACATGATCTGCAGATGTTGACAGTGTATGGCATGCCGGGTTATTTTCTCACAGACAATTTCCAATATGAGCCGCTTATTTTGAAAGCGGTTAAGTCCACTTTTTCATATATGGAGCTATTAAAAGGTTTGGATTTGATTCCTTTCAAAAATATTGTTATACCATAGACAGACGACAGCCTTAATTTGCATTAAAAAGTTCTTAATTTGAATTAAAATTTACCCCTGACAGACGAGAGTTTCTGCATTTATGAACCAGTTTTTTGTTTCAAAACTATTGTTTGTCTGGGTGTAGGAAGAAAATATTGACATTTCTTTACAATATTTTTTAGGATTAGATCTTTTTGAAATTGATACATGGCAGGAAGGAAAACTAACAGCTATAATGAAGATAAAACAGCTCCAAATTTGAAGAAATGTTGAATTTTGCCTTTATTTTTAATTTTTATTTTCGTAAACGTAAACAAATTTGACAACAATCAATTTATTTTCTACAGCAATGCCATATTGAAATTGCTTAATTCATTATAAATTCAGTTTGATTTTGTGCATTAACAACACATAAAAATGAGGATAATGTACAAGTTAATTTGAATTAAGGCTGTTAATGCAAATTAAGGCTGTCGTCTGTCTAGGCTATTAAGTAGTTTTAATTTAGTTTTTTTTCGACAATGGCTCCATATAAGGGTCCTATCGATTTTTAGGATTTTGCTAGTTCAGCTGCATTTTGCAACCGAAGAGACCCCATACAAAGCTTCCATTCTAAATTAATAGCAATAGGCATATGTCCATACGCGAAATAGGCCGAATTTGTTATTCCGGGTTATTATCAGGTGAAAATTTCTTCCCAGAAAATTCACAAAATATGACCATATCACTCATATAAATGTCCCGCCCCAATATGGTATCTTAAAGAAAGTAGAGATACTCTAATCGAATAATTCTGGCATGCAGGGTAAAGAAAATTATTAACAAAGGTCCTTCCAGTTTTAGCTTTTTTCATGGGTCTAGGCATTTTTTCAAGCCCCTGTGGCATTCCAAGTTCATGTTCGGTATTTTGAAAGTCCTACGACCAATAAAAATGTCTGACCAACTTTAGATATTTTTCTGATTGATATAGATCTTTAAAAATCCACTCCTTATTGCTGGGAGGATCCTTGAAAAAATATTCTTTAAAAATCCACTCCTTATTGCTGGGAGGATCCTTGAAAAAAATATTCTTTAAAAATCCACGCCTTATTGCTGAGATGGTCCTTGAAAAAAATATTCTTTAAAAATCCACGCCTTATTGCTGAGATGGTCCTTGAAAAAATATTCTTTAAAAATCCCCGCCTTATTGCTGATATGGTCCTTGAAAAAATATTCTTTAAAAATCCCCGCCTTATTGCTAAGATGGTCCTTGAAAAAATATTCTTTAAAAATCTACCCCTTATTACTGAGATGGTCCTTGAAAAAATATTCTTTAAAAATCCACGCCTTATTGCTGAGATGGTCCTTGAAAAAATATTCTTTAAAAATCCACGCCTTATTGCTGAGATGGTCCTTGAAAAAAATATTCTTTAAAAATCGTCACCATTAATAAATCTCTTCTTAGCTCAAAAAATAAAACAAAACATATTTTTCTACATATTTTTTATTAGGAATTCAATACATCGTCAACAGATCAAAATCCTTTAAATCGACTTGAAATAATTATTCTGGACATTAGCAATCCATGGAATATAGGCGGAGACACGAGTATAAATCGATGGCATTTGGGCCATACCACAGGGGATATAACCCCACGAGACAATACCAATCAACTCAGCATCACCCTTGGTGGCGAATTCCTTAACCAATGGACCACCGGAATCACCATTACAAGCCGAAATGCTTTGTTGCAAAGAATCCGAACAGACATTGGTTTCATGCAGAGGAGCATCAGCTGGCAAAACTTCCTTGCACTTATTGAATTCAACAATCTGAGTGGTGACAGTCTGCAAGGTACTGGCAGCGGAGAAGACAAAAGCCTTAGGTTGTCCCCAACCATACAAATGCGTCTCACCATCATGAATCTGTTCATAGGCAGGCAAGGCAACAGGTTTCACCCATTCATTGAATTCGAAAGGTTCCGACACATGCAACATAGCAATATCATAGGGACCAACACCACCGGTATATTGTTCGTGGACTACACCATAATCGACTACGCGAGATTGAGTCTTTTCATCGAAATTGGTACGCTTATGGAGACCAGCCACCACACCCATGCCGACCGGTTTGCTAATGCAATGGGCAGCAGTGAGAACCCAATTCTTGTTGATAATACTACCACCACAGATGTGTGAATGTTTGGCGGTACGACTCAGCGAAACGATGTAGGGGGCGGAATGGGGTTCAGCATCTTCGCCTTTGATGATGTAGCCGGTGGCAAAGCTGGGTATCAAACGTTGGGCCGCCGATGACAAATGACCAGCATTGGCCGAGGCCACAAACAAAACACAAAGGATCACAAAAGTTTTCATAGTTTTCTGCTACTGTTTTATGAATTGACTGACTGATACTGGAGTAGCGATTTGCAGGGGTTTATATAGCAAAACGGTGAGTGCGGATTTTTGCGTATAGACGAACGGAGTTCGTTCTTATCAAATTGTTGGTGTGTGGAACCTAATCAATAACTGTGATATTTCTTTTGATGATTTATGAATGAAGAGATCTAAAAATATGTTTTTTGTTTATTTTTTTTCTGGAAATTATTTTCTAGAAATAAAAGAGTTGTGGATAGAATGTAATGCAATTTTTTGGCTAGATGGGAGGGATATTTTTAAAGAAGATCCTGTTTTATCTATGATAAAGTTTAGGGTTTAAACGTAGCTTCCTGGGTGGTTTTATCAATGCCAGCAATATGCAAAAAAAGTTGTAGCAAAAAGTGTAAGATATGCCATTTTTGTAAACTCGTCGTCAGCGCCAGCTATTGATGAGTATGATTTATATCATACAAACTTCCAGGCGTATAACTTTTGAATGGATAATACCAACAAAGGTTGTATCATATGAAAGAGAAAATAATCTACTTTATTGCGAAAAGAAATGAGATAGGCATAATTTAAGATCGCGTCGTCAGCGCCATCTATTGGTGAGTATTAGCACATCATTAACATTTGAACTCATCTCTATGACACCGGCGTCATATGAAATAGTTTACTTTACCATGACCAGCAAATATTTTTTTTAAAAACTCTTTGATCAAAACATATACCTCATAAAACCTGTTTGTAATTCCATAGACCTCCAAAAAAGGCTGATGATATATATATATATATCAGGTATACACCTGACTGACACTTTTTTAATAGTTTTTTATTTTTATTTCGTTTCATTTGCTTTGAAATTCTTAAAGAAACAAGTTTTTATATATATCCATATTTCATATTTTTTTTTTTAATTTACTATTTTTTTTTGTAATTTTTAATGGAAATTAAGTAAATAAATATTTTAATAAAAATAACATTCAATTAATTTCCATTAAAAATCCATTGTCATTCGTATTCAAAACCCCCTGTCTAATTAAATATTAATTTATGTTTTTTATTTTATTTGTTATATATAAATATATAATTTATTTTATAGTTAGCATTTTGCATAAATACTTTACATTATGATTTTTTATTTATTTTCTGTGTGTGTAGTATTAATTATTAAATCTTATTAAAGAACACAAAAAATAATTGTTTAAAAATAAGCTTAGAATTAGAATTAAGCAAAAATAGTTTTGTTATTGTTTTTTTATTAAAATATTTATTAATAAAATAGTTAAAAAAATAAAAATCGAATTAACAAAGATATTTATAATTAATTGTTCACATTTTTAATGGAAATTAATATTTTAGAGTTTTTTTTATTTTATTTATTTTTTTATTTTTTTTGTAGGTGTTGGGATAGGAGAGACAATAAGGCCTTGGTAGATTAAGAATATATTTCGAATTTGGGAAAAAAAAACCTTTAATTTTCAAGACACCCTCTTGACTCCGATAGACCACTAACACAGTGATCCATCCGGTGATTGGTCTTTAACATAAAACCTCAACAATAGTATGGATGTCATAATGCCAAAATGACTTTCAGATTCTCAGTAGTCTAATGATACTAACCTCACTTAACTCTGTTTTTACTATCTTCGCCATTAATAAATCTCCTCTTGGCTCAACAAATAACATAAACATATTTTGTTTATTAGGAATTCAATACATCGTCAAAAAATCAAATTTCCTTTAAATCGATTTGTAATAATTATTCTGGACATTGGCAATCCATGGAATATAGGCGGAGACTCGAGTATAAATTGAAGGCATTTGGGCCATACCGCAGGACGATACAATACCAATCAACTCAGCATCACCTTTGGTAGGGATCGTTCAGGGGTTTGGTCTTTTACATAAAACCTCAACAATAGGATGGATGTCATAATGCTAGTACACCGGTATTCCTATGCCAATCTCTATGACGTTTTATACGAAAAAGTGGTTGTAGGTAAAATGTTCCAAATATATCATGCCACTTTAAGGAACTTCCTGATTTTATTGGTCAAGTGTTCCAAAAAATGTTTGTTTTCCATGAACCAACATATCGTCATCATAAATGCAAACCGGAAGTAACTACCGAAAAATTCGGAATTGATTTTTTGTTTGATTATTGTTCGTCTAATCAAACTACATGTTCAAACAAAATTTTTGACATCTAACGTCAAAAACAGCGATCTCATTAAAGACATTCACACGGACGTAACTACACTCCTGTAAAAATCAAAAGCTCGCAATATTGAAGATAGAAATCCTGAACTGAATATTAATGTTACTTCCGGGATATTTGATATGGAAAATGAGATATATCGGCTAATTTTTACAGGTACCCCAAAATTCGGTATTTTAAGACTATTCTTAATTATTTTTAACTAATCAGCTATAATAAGGTATTTTTGTTTCCCACAGGATGGAAATGGAAATATTTAATGTCTTTAGTGCAACATTTACACAAAATCGGTTGAAACTGTATATAGGAGCTATATCGAAATCTGAACCGATTTTCACGAAACTGAACACACAACACTCTAGACTCAATTCAGTACGCTATGCCAAATTTCGTGCAAATCGAAAGGAATATAGGGGCTTTAATGCACCATTTACACAGAATCGGACAAAAATATATGTGGGAGCTATGTCTAAATCTAAACCGATTTTCACGAAACTTAGCACACATCACTCCAGACAGAATTCAGTACGTTATGCAAAATTTCGTGCAAATCGAAAGAAATATAGGGGCTTTAATTCACCATTTACACAAAATCGGACGAAAATATATGTGGGAGCTATATCGAAATCTGAACCGATTTTCGCGAAACATAACAAACGTCACTCCGGACTCAATTCAGTACGCTATGCAAAATTTCGTGCAAACCGAAAGAAAAATTGGGGCGTTAATGCACCATTTAACCAAATTGGACGAAAATATGTATGGGAGCTATATCGAAATCTGAGCCGATTTTCACGAAACTTAACACACAACACTCTAGACTAAATTCAGTACGCTATGCAAAATTTCGAGCAAATCGATAGAAATATAGGGGCTTTAATTCACCATTTACACAAAATCGAACAATAATATATGTGGGAGCTATATCGAAATCTGATCCGATTTTCATTCTAGACTAAGCGTACGCTATGCAAAATTTCGTGCAAAATTTTACAAATTTTAGTCTCAATCGGATAATTATTAGTCGAAAAGTTCCAGCTTTGCTCCGTTTTTTGCTTCTCCGGTAAAATCAGTAAAAGTGTAGTTATGTCCATTTGAATTTATAATGACGATATTCATTTATGCATTCTTATCCCCGCAGTCAATGTGGTAAAAATGCATGTGGTAGGAGTGAGTTAAACATTTCACAAATGTCTTCAACGACCTCTATTCCAAATGTGGGACTTGACCTCTTGTTTTTATTAAAACTTAATGTTGACCGAGGGAAGGATGAAAGAAAAACAAAAATTAAAAAAAAAAAACAAATTGTAATGCCTAGTTTTTAAAAAATACTTTTTTTTTTATTATTCAGCCATATGAACAGTTTATATAATAGGTTTTTTAATTTTTTCGATTTAAAAAAAAGAGTTGTTCCCCTCTTTCTCTGTAACTTTTCGTGTTGCCGTTTACTTTTTGTGGAGAAAATACTTTATAAAGTGTTTGCTTTTTGTTGATTGGTTAAAGTTAATTGATATTATTAACTGATTTTTTTTATTTTATTTTTATTGATGGTATTTAAAACAAAAAAAAATGTAATCAAAAGAAATTTAAAAAATAATAATAATATGAAATACTAGGATTTAAAAGAAATAATATGGAAAATAATTAATAACTGAGCACAATTTTAAAACTATTTTTTTCTTTTTGTTTTTAAAAAAATTATATTTATAATTATAATATATAACAGTTACAATGGAGGAGGAGCAGGCATTTGAAATAGGATAATAATTTAAAAAATATATATATACTTTTTAGTGGTGTGGGGGAATATTGGGAAAAGGGAGCTGTTTGAGTACTTATGAAATACATTTCATGTGGACATGTTTGTTGTAGTTGTTATATATTGTTGTTGTTGTTTTTTTTTTCTTAGAAATTTTTACTAGAGTTTTAGTGTTTTGTTTGTTTGCTAAGTATCATTTTCATTAGTTGTAGATATTTTGTTGTTGTTTTTCTGTATATATTTTATAGTAAGTTACATGTTTACATATACATATAAAGAGATGATGAGGGTATATATTTTTTTGTTGATTTTAATATTTTTTCTTTAGAAAGGCCTTAAGGATCGTTCTCCTAACTCTTAATATGTTTTTTTTTAATTTATTAATTTAATTTTCAATTGTTTTTGTTGTTGTTTTTTTTTCATAAATTAATGCAAATTGTGTGTGTGTGTGTGTTGTTTAAAACTTCTGCTACACTTTACTAAAAATTTTAGGAGTAATTGTTGGAGATATTTTTAGTTTTTTTTTTCTTTTTGTTTAACAAATGTTTGTGTGTTTTATCTCCCAAACAAACAAAAAAATATTTTAGTGCCTCTTGATTTTGGTTCTCTCTCTCTCGATCTTTCTCTTTTTTAAATCTGCCACTTTCCATTTCGTTTGTGTTCTAGGTTAGTTGATTTTTTCCTTGCTAATCTAACATTCACTTTGCGAAAAATCCACATCCTTTTTAACACTTCTCGCCAAACGATCCAATTCGGCAGCAGCATCTGTGCGTACGGATAGTTTATCGGGTGTTAATAGACTATCTGAACCATTGGCCCGTGGTGTGCTCATGGCACCAGGTGGTGTTGCTGGTGAACCGGATTTTTTGTGCAACAATGAATTGAAGAAATTGGCCAAAACGCCTTCGCCTCCGGGTGTGACAGGATTCATTTTTACATCAGGCTGTAAGAAAAAACAAAAAAAACAACAGGACCAAACAAATAAGTCATTGAAGGAAGAATATATAAATTGAAATATTTTTTGGGAGATTGAGTAATTTGTTAAATTATCTGACTACAAATAACAAAATTAATGTAAACCAGTAAGGAAAATACCAATATCGTGTATTATACCTTACACCACTAGTAACCTGTCGTTAGGTATATACCGAAGCAAACGTTCTCCATGTCGATTTATAAGACATCAACAAGGTTCGGGTGTCTAAGGGATTTTTTTAATACTCTCAGCCTTTCTAAACTCCGAAATGAAAATGTCTATATTTCAAAGGGAAGTTTATGGAGCGGTTTCGAACTCAATGTCAAAGTGACAATTTTAAATAACGACTATATATATATATATATATATATATACATATTAAAATTAGAACTTTAATTTTGAAAATGTCTAGCATTGTAATGAAAAATGTTGAAATAAATTAATTTAGAATCTATTATAATGCCGCATTTGAACCCTGGTTGTTAATAGTTTTAAGCAAATTGAAATAAAAAATGTCCAGTGATGTGAATTCTAAGGTTGTGAACAATAAATATAATCAGTGGTTAGTTAAACAAACACAATAAAAATTGTACTAAAAATGTGACAAATTAAAAAAAAATGGAATGGAATGAAAAAAATAAAAACATGGCTTCACCTTTCTACTGGGTGAATTTTGACCAGCTGAACCAGGGGTACGGGGCATAGCTTTGCTAGCCTGCGAGCGTAAAGGTGATCCACTACGTACTTCACCGCCTTGCTTGATGATTTCCTGTTGTCGCGCCAAAAATGTTTGTTCATCTTCGGTTTGCACTTCAATTTCACGATTTGAAACGGTCTGAAAAGAATAGAAAGAACAAAATTATTATAAACTAATATTCAAAATAGAAGAAATTAAAAAAAAACAGTGAGCGGAGCAGTATAGTCGGACGGGGCCGACCATGCGATACCCTACACAACTACCACGAACTCTAACTTTCTGAGGATGTTTATTCCGAGTCTGAGTAATATTTCGTGATATTTGCCCCCTCTTGTCCGATTAGAGGTTAACAACACCTCTTCCTTACTTTTTTCGAATATTCACTACAGTCCTTCTAATTACTTGTCCAGATTACCTTCACGGTGGGTTGTGTTGTGATTTTCGGATTATACTCTACTCGAAAACACACAAAAAATTATGTTTTCGGTCCATTTCATCCCAAAATGTTAATTTGATCATCACCGAAAATTGTAGGCGTTGTTCTTGACCATAACTGGAACTTCATGAAAAATGTCAAAGCCATCAGCGCGATATTTCTCCCTCTAATGTGGTAATGGGTTACTGAATAATATCTGAATACGTAAGCACCTGTAAATATTTGACTGTAACTCCCACATCTGAGTAGATACATCACTATATTTGGCATCAATTTAAAGGCCAACCACTCCTCTTGGATATGCTATCAACTCCTGGGGTCTACATCCTCCAGGAGTAAATATATATGCCATAGAATACAAATTTTGTCATTTTTCACACAAAAGTCAGGGTCCATTTGACCCGCTAAATATTGACCGATCTTTATCAAAACATGCATGCTTATTCTCTGACCCGATCCCCTTCTCCATGCAAAAATTCGCGGTGTTTGGGCCATAATTGCGGCCTCTGGAGCGACCAGAAAAACCGACAAAAATTTAGTATTTGGTCCATTTCATCCCCTAAATATTAACCGATCTTTTCCAAAAACAATAGGGGTCTTCATTGGCCAGAACCCATCCTACATGCAAAATTTCGTGAAGATTGGTCCATAACTGTGGCCTGTATCGTGTTTACAATTTATAATGGACAGACGGACGGACGGACGGACACACATGTCTAGATCGACTCAGCTAGTCGAGATATGACGATCGGTATACTTAAAGGTGGGTCTAGGACCAATATTTCGCGGCGTTACAAACATTTGGGGCTGCACAAAGCTATAATACCCTGACAACATAGTTGTGTAGGGTATAATGAATTGACAACAGAGACAAATTGCAGGGATATGAACTATTATCCATATCATCATCATAAATGCAAAGTCCCTATATGGTCCTAGATTTGTTCCAGAGTTCTACTGTACTTACTTTTCTCGAAGGTGGCGGTGTAATAATGTCTGTATAATAATCTTCAGCTTTACAAGAATGCATATTCTCATATAAAATACTTATTTTCTTTAAGCTATCCCAACCGGCAGGACTGCAAAAGAAAAACAAATACATGAAAATTAAATATTTCAGTTTCCAACCAAAAAACAAAAAACACAAAAATGTATAACCCACATTAGAACTGCATCTTTCTCTACGACTAGGGCAGGTGTTCGGAATGGTAGACCATAGATTCGATGTGTTAAATATTTATAAAGGAGATCACAGTTTTTGTCTTCTTTGACACTTGTGTAGAAGAGTGAGGTGCCATGTTGCAAACAAAAACGCCGTATCCACTGTTGTATGAAATCGAAATGTTCATCTCGATAGTCGTATTCTTTTTCCAAAGTGGTCATGTAGTCCGTCTAAAAAAAATGAAAAAAACGGAACAAGGAGTTAATCAAATAAACCAAAAAAAGACATTGAATTCCATTCTTACTCACCTTTGTAACCACCACAACAATATCCAAACCCAAATTTGTCAACAACGCTCCATCGGTGAGCGGCAGTAAATCATCATCATCTATGGAATTATTACGCATGGTGCGTTTAACCGGTGAACCCGGATCTAAATCATCACCGACCTCACAATAACTTTGCCATGAGGTTATTAAACGTTGGCGGGCTTCTTCTTTTTCACCGGGTTCCAGCTTCAACGATTCAATGTGATCGGATAACACCTTAATCCAGTGATTAAGCTGTTCCAGCCAATACCATGGCTGTGTCATTGATACGGTCAGTATGACCAATGTGTGTGCATAATTTTGTTCATTTAAGGCAAAGTGTAGGAGATTGTTATGACCTGGATCGCCGTCTAATACCCAAACACTTAAACGGGTCATGTCTGAAAGGAAAAGGATGAAACAAATAATCAGGATTAGAAAATAAATTATAATTTAATATGTATCATTGATTGGAAATCAAATTGGGTGCAGAATTTATGTACCCACGGAAGACTGGTTTAATATCATCCATACGACATACATCTTTATGACAAATTGAGGAGGGAGACCCCATAAATTAGATATATTCTTGATCATAGCAAAATTCTTGTCGATTTAATTTTTCCTGAATGTTTTTTTTTTTACAATAAGTTTTTTTTTGTCGCAGATAAATTTCCATATCTTAGAAGCAGCTGCAGACAATTTAAATGACAATTTAACCCTGTAACCCGGCTCAACTTCGTTACGGTTTTTGTCTACATCACTGTGATCAGTCTCACCTCCAAGTCAGAAGGGATTGCCTGATATGACAATAAAGGATTCCGACTTTTTTACTGCGAATGCTGCCGTTTCTGCGTTGGCAGTAGCCGATGCAGTCAGGACCGCATAGTAACATACGACAATCCGCCTTCGGGGAGCAGAGCTGAATGCTACCGGAAACATCAACTGGTTGCGGATAGTTGGAAGCCCAATACTATTAATTGGGTAGCTGTGAATAACAAATAAACAGTCTCAGGGGGAGAGTCTCGAAGGAAATGACCGAGTGCCTATGATCCCTGAGCTGACGAGGCGAGAATGGCGCCCCTAAATAACCATCTCAAAGGTTTGGGTCACTACCTCTCAAAGTGACCCCCCTAACCCTGGGGTGTCATGTGACCTCGTGCCCATCAGCGGTTCCTGACCCGACCGGTATGGCGCCTAATGGAGGAGATGGACAGAATTGGTGATCTCATCATCAGGTGTGACGCCAATACACATCACTTCCACTGGGGAAGCAGTAACACCAATACGAGAGGTGAGTCCATTTTTGAGTTTATACTTAGCTATAATCTTAGAATTTGTAATAGTGGCAATACACCAAGCTTCGTTAATAGAGTGAGAGGTGAACTCATTGACATAACGCTCACTAATATGGACGACTGTCTTAGACTGATATTTTTCCAGATTCCTACCTCTAGAGGTAAACAGAAGTCTTATAGAAATCCTCGGAAGACAGACTGTGACAAATTCAAAGCAAAAACAGAAGTCTCAATCCTAGGTCATAAAGATCTTAAAACGGTTGAGGAAACTGTGAACAATGTTACGATCACTCTTCTGAAGAGGTATGAGGCTTCTTGCCCCCTGGGAAAAATCTCAGCCGGTATGGTGGTCACAAAACCTCGCATCCTTGAGGAAAGCTGCAAGGAAAGCATACAATAGGGGTAGTAAGACAAAACTCAGTACAGATTGGGACGTTTATAGAGAACAGTTCAATAGGTACAAGAGCGAAAACGCGAGTCTTGGGTCTGATATAGTGAGACAATCGAAGGAGTCAACGAAACGGCTAGATTTTGCAAAGTACTATCTAAAGATCCAAAATCTATAGGTAGTATTAAGAGAAGTGATGGAACAAACTCTGGCAGTGCGACTCTTGATCTTCTATCGTCAACCCACTTTCCTAGTTGTTGCCTCTGTTAGGACTTCCCTTAGACAATGTTTCGTTAAAAAGTCATCAGTGTTAGGAAAACATTATGAAGAAGGCCTTTGGAACGAGTTATTTCTATATTAGACCTATACAACGCATCCTCTTGATGAAAGTCATTTAGAATATTTCCTGTTTACAGATAGGCTTGAAGGTCTTCAGCCCATAGAAGTCCTTTTAAAGTGAAATAAAATAAATGTTTTCTTTTCTAAGCTAAATTGTTCATGCTTTTTGAAAAGTGTGTAGCTACTTACCATCTCTGTATTCATCCTTAACATCGATGTAGGCATATTCCAAACCGGAACCTTTTTTCGGATTTTCAACACCCTGAAGTTTGGCCACCAGTGTTGTCTTGCCGGTGGCATTATCACCCAATACTAATACCGATTTATTTGAGGGAAGTTTTGTGCTGCCTTGTTTTTGGACTTCGCTTAATATAGAAGACCTGAAATGGTAACAGAGATAATAATAAATTAGAAAATAAAAAAAGCTCAGGAGACATGCAATAGTTTTTAAACTATAATTATGTGTAATAAAAATAAAGACAAATGTGTCTATATTTATGATAGGGTCGGTCATTTGTCCAGGTTGATTTATGGTGTACACATTAACCTCTCTGTCTGCCGCCCTTTTCCATACCATTGAGAAGAATTGAGTCATTTCCGTCATGGTGTTGTGATGGTAACAGTTTTGAGAGCATTTCGCATTTTAAAAATAAATTTTTCTTTTTATTTAAATGCAGTGTAGAAAATGTATCTTTGAATTATTCCCTTAAAACCAATTTTCTTACTTTTTTCTTTTTAATTTTCCAACTCCTCCTCCTCCATTGAAATTGGCCAATTGTAATTTATTTATTTCCTTGCTGAGCAATTCGAAAACATTAAATTCATTGACACCGTCCGTCATCTGAACCTTTGTCGATAAGTCTTTCATTTTAAACACGACACACCAGAAAAAAACTAAAGCAGCGACCATGCAAATTTCATGAGATCCTTAATTTTGTTGTCCTTTTTAAATTTGAGTATCACAACAAATTGCTAAACGAAATACTTAATAAAATTACTTTTATTTCTTTTTCAATTTGTCGTTTTGAAATAGAATTTGACCACTGCGTGTCCTTGTCACAATCAATGCCCGTTCAATTGAATGTTTACCAACCAGCTGGTAGCTAACTTGTCTAATACCTTCGTCTCTACACTCAATACTCAGTAGTTGTTGTTGTTGTTAAGGATACCGATTGGTAAAGTGGTTGTGACCGGATATTACAATAGGACAATAACTTTTTGTGGGGGATATTTTCGTTATTTACATACATGTATTCCTTTATGTGTTACTGTGTATGTGTGTTCGTGTGCATGTCGAATGAGTTAAATATTGAAATGAGTCGTAATTCAAAATGTATTTATTTATTTTCTTTGTAGTTAGCGAGGGTGATTGTAATATTGATAATTGGAATATAATTTTTGGTATTGAGTGTTTTTTTACAAGCATTTGTTGCTCGCTCTCGTAATTTTTATCGGAATATTTCATTTCTATTGATTTTCTTGTTTTGTTTCTCCCAAAAAAAGGAAAATTAAAAACACAAAGGTGTTATTGTTAAATAACAAGAAAACACTACTAGCGTGCTAAGCTCAATAGAACAGTGGCGTTTCGTTTGAGAAGGATAAATTCCCACATATCATATTCAAAGGGAGAGAAATAAATGTAATAAAGACATAAATTGGTATTGTCATAACTATTATTTTTTTAATAAAGAATTTTGAGACTGATAGTTCCTGGCTTTGAATCCCAAAAAAAAAAGAATATCTGCTTAATGTAGAAGACATCCGATAGGACAGAGACAGAAGTAATTCTAATAGTCTTCGATATACAGGAGACCTTATATATAGGCTTACAAAGTCATTCTATGAACAAAAGACCTGAGAAATAAAGAATTGGCAATCTAATGCTTTATATCGACCATTGATGATCCATGAAATCCACGTTTCCTTTACAAGATCTAGCAAAAATATTTATGTCTCGGCGAGATTTTATAGTAACAAAGTACCTAGAGCCCAGGGCGCCATAGTATGGAGAGTAATAATCATTTCCGAGCCTACAACCCCATATGATCAGAGTAAAATTTTTCGATTTGAACGAAATTTGGCATAGCGTACTGAATGAAGTCAAGAGTGATGTGTGTTAAGTTTCGTGAAAATCGGTCCAGATTTAGATAAAGCTCCCATATATATTTTCGTCCGATTTTATGTAAATGGTGCACCAAGGTCCATATATATCCCTCGATTTGCACGAAATTTGGCATAGCGTACTGAATTGAGTCTAGAATGATGTGTGTTAAGTTTCGTGAAAATCGGTTCAGATTTAAATAAAGCTCCCATATATATTTTCGTCCGATTTAATGTAAATGGTGTACCAAAGTCTTTATATATCTTTCGATTTGCACGAAATTTCTCACAGCGTACTGAATTAAATCTAGAATGATGTGTGTTAAGTTTCGTGAAAATCGGTTCAGATTTAGATATAGCTCCCATATATATTTTCGTCCGCTTTAAGGTAAATGGTGCACCAAAGTACCTATATACCTTTCAATTTGCACGAAATTTGGCACAGCGTACTGAATTGAGTCTAGAATGATGTGGGTTAAGTTTCTTGAAAATCGGTTTAGATTTGTAGTGGTGAAGGGTATCATATAATCGGCCCAGCCCGACTTTACTGCTTACCTTATTCTTTTTTTAATTTTGCAAAAAAAAATGTAAAAAGATATTATTTGGTAAATGCAGAATACATCATATAGGACAGAAGTCATTCTAATAGTCTTCGATAGACAGAAGACCTGAGAAATAAATAATTGACAAACTAGAGCTTTATTTCGACAATAGACGGTCTTTTGACATCCATATATTCCGTAACACTCATATTCTATATAAAATGAATCCATGTTTTCTTTAAGAGGACCTGCAAAAATATTTATGTCTCCGCGAGATTGTATTGTAACAAAGGACCTAGAGTGCCAGGAAGTTGTGTAGGGGTCTCGTCTTTTTTACCCTCCACCTTTGTATGGATCTGTCCAAAATTTAGCATAGAGTCGTCTTTTGTCTGTAGTTCGAAGATGGGATATATTGGTCCATGTTTTTGGTATATGTTACCACCAATTTTCGGTATTTTGGGGATCTAAAGCTTGGTTTTCAAACGAATTCGCTGAAATGTGGTGCATTGGGTTGTTAGACAACAAATTACTTCACTAAAAATTATAAATATACAGTATTGTTCGAAACCTAAGCAACTTTTTCTTAGTACGTAGTCATGGTCTTATATGATATCGTTAAATTAATTTATACTATGTGTCTATAATCTGAAAATAACAACAAATTTAAATTATATTTCTTTGGAAAAAAATAAAGAAATGAAAACAAAATTAACTCACAAAGCAGCTGTTCGAAACCTAAGCAACTTTCAATATTTCGTATGATACCCGTTATTTTTTATCACTGCCGCACATCTTTTTGCCATTGATTCTATAAGATTTGTTAGATTTGTTGTTGGTATAGCTTCCCACTCTGATTTTAAGCAGTTCATTAGTTCCTGTCTGTTTTAAAGGCGACGTGTTCCAATCCTTCGTTTTAAAATGCTGAAAAGGTTCTCAATGGGATTGAGGTCTGGTGACAAGTTTTGCAAGGAAGTATTATACTCATTTACAACCTCACATTGGGTATTACAGCTTAGCCAGCTGTTAAAAAGACTTAAAATCGGCCGATATTTTAGGTTCTTAAAATCAAACTTTGTATTTGAGATAGATCTTACGATTGCAACAGGCAGACGATGGATTTCGTTACAAGTTCATAAGTTTTACAGTTCATAATAAAATTTCCATAAGCAGTGAACATGTTAATTTCTATCGTCTATTTTCTTAAAAAAATCGAAACTTACAAATTCGCTATGATATAGAGACTATTGAAATTCGTAAAAGTAAAAAATGTTTCGCTTATGATGAGTTCGGATAACTGAAATTATTTTCCGTTGAAAAATCCAAATTTTCAGTAAAGCGGAGTCGACTGTATAATGCATTAGTTAATAAAATAAGTACTTTTCATAATTCAATTTAACAAGATAATAAAATACCATGATTACTTACTAAGAAAAAGTTGCTTAGGTTTTGAACAATACTGTATATCCACTTTTTTCTGGTAGCCCCCATATAACGGTACCCTCTAATTTTCAGTATTTTGGGAGTTTTGATCGTATTTTTTACCGAATTGGCTGTAAATTAGTATTTTTAATTCTAAATAGGTCCCAAAACTCTTCACAAAAAATTATAAATATAGCTTCATTTTTTTCGGATAGCCCCATATAAGGGTACCACCCTATTTTCGGTATTTTGGGGTTCTTTAGCGCGTTTTTCAACAAAATTCACTGTAATTTGGTATTTTGTAGTCGTATATAATAACAAATCTCCCTCCCAAATATTATTAATATTCGCCCCCCCCATCTTTGGGTAGCCCCAAATAAGATCCACATTTTCTGGTAGCCCCCATATAACGGTACCCCCTAATTTTCAGTATTTTCGGGGTTTTATCGTATTTTTTTAAGGAATTGGCTGTAATTTAGTATTTTGAGTTCTCAATAGGTTCCCAAACCTCTCCACAAAAAATTATAAATATAGCTTCATTTTTTCTGATAGCCCCCATATAAGGTTATCACCCTATTTTCGGTATTTTAGGGTTCTTGAGCGCGTTTTTTTTCAACTAAATTCACTGTAATTTGGTATTGTGTAGTCGTATATGATAACAAATCTCCCACCCAAAAATTATTAATATTGGGGTAGTCCCCAAATAACCCCCTTTTTATATCTGATTTGTTCCATTAGCGGAGGACATCGAGAAAAAAAACAGAACGTAAGGTTCGAGAATGAACTATAGGGTCATTTAAATTTTAAAATTTCAAAAAAATCTACGTTCATATTTCCGATCAGTAAAAACCCCACTTTTAAAAAAGCAGATTAACGGCTTAAGTCCTGTAATTTCAATTTTATCAATTTGATTTGATTATTCAAAATAATTCTTCAAGAAATTCTTGTTTAAAGTTTCGATGCTCTCTTAAAAATCATGTTTTCTACAGGGTTGAAAGCTTTGAAACCCCTCGTTAGATTCCACGCCAATGTATCTTGCATGTTGTTTACATTTAAGTTTCGGGCTAATCTGCTACAATAATTAGACTGGTTTTATCCTATGAAGAGGTAGTTACTGCTATCCTCTGGCAGTGTGGAACTTCATATTGGTAATAGACAACAAATTTATATGAGTGAGTTTTTTTTTCATTCATCTATTTAGGAGGTTCGACACTCGCCCAACCATTAGTGAGTGGTGAGCGGTCGCTATGGTGCCCAGTGAAATTTTCAACACGAAGCTTTGAGAAACTTAAAGGACTTTCAATGGAAATATTACAGTGGTGGCTCTCAAAGTGAAAAGTTAAAAAAATAGTGAAAATATTTCCAAAAGAAAAAATTTATTAAATTTGAAAAAAAGAAAAAACTATGAGTTTACTGCCTAAACGCAGATCTCGCAGTGAAACACGAGATTCCGCTGCAATGCATTGTGAAAATAATAATAAAGCTGCAATTCCAATAAATAATGGCACCTTGCTATGGGGCAAGGTTCGCCAAAGTAGACAATTGGATAAAATTCTGGTAATGGGTGGTGGTGGCGGGGGTGGGGGTATGGGTAAACGTCGGACTTCGGCCGAAATGATAAGTGAAGCTAAAACATTTTTAAGTGGCGGGGGAGGAGGAAGTGTTGGAGATTTTGCTGGTTCCATGAATAATTTGAATTTCCAAAAACAGCAATCACAACAATTTCAGGCCACAAATGGTAAAGAAAAAAACAAAAACCAAAAGCGAAAAAAAACAAATTGTAAAAGAAAAAATTATGGCTAATGAGTTCATTTATTTTCCGTTTTTTCCATAGTGGTCGGCGGGGTCCGAATGGTTAGTACACGACGTCCGGTAACACCCCGTGAAACGGGCAGAGTATTATATGGTAAGGTGGCCATGGCTGGCCGGCCACCCAGTGCATTTTCGTAAGTGTCCACGCAAATCAGAGAGAGAGAAACATAGAAACTGAGAGAGAGCTCTCTCTCTCTCTTTGTTTTTATAAATGAAATAATAAATTTACCAATATTTTTGTAAATAATTTATAGATTACGTTATTTGCGAAATGGCGAGGCGGCAGCACCGCGTACACCTAATTTGGAGCCCATACAAACAACAACCGAAGAAGAAGAACAAAAACACGATGCAACAACCCCAAGAGGAGCTGTAGTAGATAATCATACCGCTGCTGTTGTTGATAAACAAATTGGTAAAACGAAAAATATTGATGCCGAACTAACACGACGTTCCAGATCCTTTGAATCGTATAATGGTAACAACAATAATGATAGTTTCGATAGTGTTAGTGGTGGTAACAGTAATAAACCATTACCACGTAAATTACCGGCATTAGAAGTCAAAGGTGGTGGATTAAGGAAAGGTACGACATGTGTGAAAGGAACCTTGAAACTAATAATGGACGCATTAACCTTTTGTTGTTGTTGTTATTTACAGATAACTCCATTCAACAACCCAAACAATTACGAGCCAAAACAGCTTATTCGGTCGAGTCATCTGGAGGCTCCTTGAAAGGTGATGCAATTGAAGTTACTCTCATCGATGAAAATGGGGCCACCAATCGTGCATTGACACTTTTGGAGACACGTAAAATTCTAACCCGCTGCAATGATTTGTTGGGTCAATCATCGACGGAAAAACTTATTGATATGCTAAAGGAACATGCCGGGTTGAAAGAGTGTACCGATGAAACGGTGAATCATATTAATTCGGTGAGTGAGAAAGGGAAGACAAAATTTAAATGAGTCAAGGATCCACTTTATTAGCTCCGTAGATCCTTCAAACGATTATAGTTATAATGACCCGTAAAAAACATATCATTAAAAGAAGTTATGGCTCCAAATAAATATTTGGGAGCTATAACCTAAATCTGAAACGATTTTCATGAAACTGAGCACACACCATTCTAGAGTCAATTCAGTACCCTATGCCAAATTTCGTGCAAATCGAAAGATATATAGGGACTTGTGTGCACCATTTACATTAAATCGGATGAAAATATATATGGGAGCTATATCCAAATCTGTACCGAATCTCCCGAAACTCACCACTCATCATTTTAGACTCAATTCAGTACGCTACGCCAAATTTCGTGCTAATCGAAAGATATATAGGGACTTTGGTCCACCATTTATTAGCTCCGTTAGTCCTCAAACGATCACAGCTCTGACGCCCTGTTAAAAATATACATTCCTCTAAATGTATTCTTTCAAAATCTTCGGTGGCCCTTAAAAAATTACCGTTTACAGCTTTTTTGGTCGTTTAAAATTACTCATTCCTTTAAATATATTCTTTCAAAGTCTCCATTTATAGTTCCGATGGCCCTTTAGATTTCAAATCTATAGTAGTTCTGATGGTCCACATTTATAGCTCCCATAATCCTTGAAAAATATTAACATTATTTGTTGTTATTGCAGATTTTAACAGAATTATACAATCGGGTACACAAACATGAAGATAATTTCAAAAAAGGTTTCATATTGGGTGGACTCTATGGTCTAGTGGAATGTACAGCACCCAAGATATTATTATCTGTGGCCAGGGTGGTACTGGCGGTAAGTGAAAATAAACTAATAAAAATTCCTTGCAAACCAAAAAATCCATTAAACTTCTCTCCTCCTTCTACAGCTACGCGTTTCCGGCAGCAATCTGACCGGAGCCTGTAAACTAATCTTTAAAGTGGCACGCAGCGAACAAAATGATCATCTATTTCATGAAAATGACATTTTAGAACTCCTTATCGATGGCTTGGGTCGGGCAAGTCCCCTTGACGATCCGGAAGCTTGCATCTATGGCTATGGTTCAATACGTTTTCTAACATGCAGCACAAATCAAGAAAGAGCCGAATTGACAGCCATTAAAGATCTCAATCGTAATTGGGCCGAACAGGTTACAGAGTTGCCGCGTAAACCAAATACAGCACCAAATTTAGGTGAATATCCAACAAAAATGGGAGGTGGTAGTATTGAAAAGTCGAAAACGGAATATGTTCAAAAACTCTCAAAACAAGATGCTTTGGTATTACGCCTCTCGCGTCATGGTGCTGTTCAGTTGATGATATTACATTTACAAATGTTAAATGAGGCAGGAGCGGCACGTAAACTGGAAGGACCACCATTGCATTCCCTGTATCAGTTATCAGCAGCATTGAGAGCTTTGGCGGATGTGAGAAAAATTATATCGTCTTTAGAAAGTTTGGATATATCACGACCACATTTCGATAATACCAGTATACATTTGGAATTGGCATGTCCACATTTGATCAAAGCGGCCGAGGTGACAATTGGTGAGATTGAGGTGCAGGCGAACATTGTTAGGACATTGAGGTAAATTTTCCGAAAAATTAGAAGAAGAAGAGCTAATAATAATATTTGTGTATTTTAGTGTCCTTTCCGAAGACTGGGATTGCTGTCATGCCATGGAAAAATTTGCTCCTCGTATTGGCATGTTGCTGGGCCCCTGCTGCACCAATCATAACACCAGTAATGCAGAGAAGCTACTCAGCATTATTAGTCGTTTGGGTTATATTTTGGGTAACATCATGACTAGTTATGATTTGGCAAGGATTCAGGTGAGTTGCAGATTGCTTTTTTAAACTAATTTATCCACAATGGATATTTTAATAAGAACTCAAAATGGAAAAGTAGAGTCAATTCGTTTGAAAAGCTCCTAAGAAGAATGCTTGCGCGTACCTTCAAAGGGGGTCCAAGACGTTGACATTGTTATCTCTTTGACCGCATTCGCTAGAATGGCGTCTTCTTTTTATTTCATCATCATTCTTTCTTTGTTACATTTGAATCTTATATCTAGTTGATAGTCGGTAATTTATTACATGGTTGTATTTTGACAATGATGTCAATCTAAATCTACTACAGCTCGGCCAACCTGACGGTTGTGACCGAATTAGAAACTTTAGCCATCATATATTCTTTAAGAAGATTTCAGTCCATTTAGAGGGAATCCAGTTCAAAATTATCACAGATTGCAATTCACATTCTCTGACATTGGACAAGAGAAACGTTAACAGCCGAATTGCAAGGTGGGCACTAGAACTTATACCAGAATAATAGTTATAATATTGTCCATAGACCACGATGGTCACGAATTGGACCATCGGTGATACGCCAAGTAAGGTTTTGTTTGGAATAAATCAAAGAGGGGGAAGTAATAGATAAGTTAACAGAATACCTAGAGGAAAAGTTTTTGGACCCCGGGGAAGGTATTCAGGCCATACGAGACAAAGCAGAGGCTGCAATTGCGAAGTGGCAGGCATATAGCGAGCAACGGTCTAAGGAAATAGTTGGCGTAGTAAATACATTTAAAGCAGGTGACTTTGTAGTGATACGGAATATCGATACTACGATAGGGACCAATAAAAAGTTAGTGCCGAAATATAAGGGTCCTTATGTAGTAAGCAAATTACTTCCGAACGACCGATATGTGAAAAATATTTATTGAAAACTGTTATTTTGAAAATTTCCTTCTATTTTTCCAGTTCTTTCACAATGACGTTGCCATGGAATATTTGTTAAATGTCCTTGAAAACTATTCCAAAGAGCCATTGACACTACACAATTCTCTTGGAGATACAGTATTGGATGTGTTGATAAAAATGATAAGAGTTGTGGCGAATATGAGTGTTGATTCCGAGGTGGGACTAGGCTTGGGAGATACCCGAGCATTGGGTGCCATATTATTGGATATACTGAAGACCACACAACAACTGAAAAGTATTAAAATGGTGAGTTGAAAAAACTATATTCCCCTAGGAACAATTCATTTAATTTAAAATTTCTATATTTGCAGAAACAAGAACTCCAAGAGCTATGCCATGCCACCTTGGGCGCCTTGCACAATTTATGTTTCTATCAGGATCAAATGGCCACGACACCCTCAATGGTACAGGAGGCCAAAGGCAGCTTACGTTCAATTCTACCCGATTTGGCAACACAACTAAGTGGAGTTTTGAAAAACAGCCAAGATGAAATGTCCCAGGTGGAGGCTGCCCGTGTCCTTGGCAATTTGACACGCAATGAAAAGGCCAGGAAATATTTCTGTCGAGCAAAAGGATTAAAACTGGTTGTGAAAATTCTGTCAAATCCCAAGACCAAGGAAATTCATGATCTTCAGGCGTGTACAATTGGTATATTGGTAAATCTATTGGGCGACGTTGAAAATCGTAAGCCCTTTATACAGTTGAAAGGGCCACAAATACTCTTCGAGCTATTACATGACAGCCTGAAGCAACGTGAAGATTGGTTTATGAGCACCATCATTTGTCAGGCATATTGGAATTTATTTATCGATAACATCCATTTGGAAGAGATGGGTGATGCCGATCACATCATAGATGATATCATTGATTTGCTATCGGAATATTTAGATGACGACAAACTATTGCAAATGGATGAAATGTTAAATCAACATCAGATATGGGAAGATTTTACAATGGTCTCATCGTATTTACTCGATCACTTGCAATCGCATTATCAGCAACAACAAGGTAGTGAGGGTGTCAACTCCATGGAGGCAAGTGATATGGATGATGAAGATGATGTTTACATTGAGGGTATATAAAAATACTGTTACTCAAAAAAATTACCTATTTAAATTAGAAAATCAAATCGTAAAGAAATTAAAAAATATTGAAAAAAATATTAAATGTTGATGCCGTGGCAAAAAAAACCTAAACAAAAAACAATCATTTTTTATTTCATTTTACAATAACTTTTACCAAAACCAAAGGCAATGATGTCAACACCATTAATAGGGAGATACGAAAACCTCTACATCGTTTTGTTTTTGGCATTTGATGGCTATATATACCACAGCAATTATTGAAATCAATAGACGGCGATCGATCGATCGTATGGTGGAATCGACACCAAACTCGTCATATTAATTATTAAAACTTGTTCCATTGTCAATTATCGCCAGACATTTGCTTAACCAATTCTCTCTTCCTCTCTTGATTTGCTTATGGATTTGAATGAAATATTTTTTCAATCGCATTTAATACGCTTGTTGAATGCTAATTAGTTTTTCTTTTGTCAGTCTTCTCTGGAAATAGTTCCATTAACTGTCATCATTTTGGCATCTCTTAAGGGTAGCTGTTGTGTATTGTTACTCTGCCAGGTATTATTAATAAATATTCAATCTCTCAGGTATTATTCATGAACGTTGGAGAACAGAAGAAGAACATTAAGTCATTTTGTTAGCCCAACAAAATGATTCATTTTGTGGGTTTTGAGTTGTTAACCTTAGCAATCTCAAACATGAAATGTTTAGCCAACTAAATAATTTATTTTATTATGGGTATTATTAATAGAATAGCGGTAATGTATCGAAAAATCAAATAAAAAATTTCAAACTGTATTGAGTATTATTACAGAATGTTACTTACAGAAGCCTAAATAAGAAGAATTAAAAGCAAGTTAAAAAACAGAGAAAGTTTTTTAACTATCAATAATCCGATATGCATAGAAAATATTAAATGAGGCGGACTTTATAGGGAGATATTTTAAAATATACTGAAGCATTAGCATTATAAGGGGTATAAAACGAAACAAAACCTCAATTTTATTGTTAGATGTTATAATGCTCACTACTAACGTGAGGAATTTCCGGAAAATCGTCCCTCGCTATATAAGGGCTGGACGAATAGCCGAAATAAAAACAAATTTCCCAGCAAAGGCGACGTTATTGGTACCGTCGCAGGAGTGTGCTTCGTCTTATCTTCGTCCTCCCAGGCGAGGAGATGCCACCACAATCAACGAAGTGTAATTTGCAGATGTCATGCAAAACGCTAAGTCATTATATGGATCCGGACGAAATGTTTATGGTAATACATTGAATTACATTGAAGCGTGAAAATTAGGCATGATGATACCGCTTCTGAATCCAGACAAGAGTGTCAGTCCCCAGTAGTAAGTAAGCTTGAGGTAATAATAATCCTCCCATTGATAAGAGACAGATTTCCACTTATTCGATATTAATGTGGGTGGCGGAAATGCACAGCAGCATTAAATGCCTTGAACACACAAGAACAGGCTATTCAATAGAACAATTTTGGTGACAATTGAGCCTTCGATATTGCTAATTAACGCAAGACTATTCGAAGTCATAGAGAAGACCAAACCCTAGCCGTGTATGAAACGTTGATAATAAACTAGATATGTGAAGACCCGCCATATGTGGAATTCAGAAAAAGCAAATCGAAGGTGCCAAGTTCCATTATTGATGACATATGTCTACATTGATGATTTTGTATTCCACAGCCACGCTGTTCGTCATGCTCCTGAAATTAAATTATTCCGACTACAAATTTTTTCAATATATTAGGTGTAAAGATTGTGAGTCATGGAATGTAGGAACAAGATCCAGAAGTCGTGTTAGAAGTCCACACTTTCTCAGATTTTGGTTCCAAAGTTCGACTGGGATCCTTACATAGACTGTCTTCTCTGGACGGATGTCCAAATCGTCTAAGGGACAGAGTCCCATTTTAAATAGAATAGTTTTTGTTCGTGGTTGACCTTCGACAGGGAGTTTAAATCTTTCTTCTATGAACAGATGGAAAAATCGACTTGGCGACAAAATCTCTTTTTAAATAGTTGTATGGGTCCTTCGGTCCATCACCCACTTCCGGGTCAAACAACCAGATACTTCCCCCAAGACAAAAAATATATCCTTCGGTCCTTCGGTCCATCATCGGTCACTTCTCATTTAAAATGATACCAACTTTGGGTAAAACAACCGGATACGTCCCCCAAAACAAAAATATATCACATAATTAGGGTAATACCCCCCTTCCCCCTACTTCTGGAAAAAATATAAAAAACCTATACAATACCCTAGACAACTACCTTCACCGCGGCTTGTGCTGTGATGTTCGGCTTTCAATTGTGGACTATAGATCGACTCGAATAAAAACAAAAAAATTAAGTTTTCACTTTAATTCATCCCAAAATTATTGTCTGTCCATCAACGATAATTATAGGCGTTATCCTTGACCATACCTGGATCCTCATGGAAAATTTCAAAGCGATCGGTATCAATTTAATGTTCAACCACTCCTCTTGGATATACAATCATCTTCTCGGGTCTATGTCCTTAAGGGTAAATATGTACGCTATAGAATATAATTTTTGTAATTTTTCACACAAAAGTCAGGGTCCATTTGATCCGCTGAATATTGATCGATCTTTATCAAAACAGGCAAGCGTATTTCGCGATGTTTGGGCCATAATTGCGATCTCTGAAGCGACCAGAAAAAGAGACAAAAATTAAGTATTTGGTCCATTTCATTCCCTAAATATTAACCCATCTTTATACCAAAAACAATAGGGGTCTTCATTGGCCAGAACCAATCCTACATGTAAAATTTCGTGAAGATTGACCCATAACTGTGGTCTGTATCGTGTTTACAAATTATAATAGACAGACGGACGGACACACATGTCTAGATTGACTCAGCTAGTCGAGATATGGCGATCGGTCTGTCTAGGACCAATATTTCGCGGCATTACAAACTCTTGGGGCTGCAGAAAGCTATAATACCCTGACAACATAGTTGTGTAGGGTATAGATATCTAATCGTTTTTATCAAGTTGTTCCTTACAAAAATCTCCAGGATTTGTTAAACCTTCATACGAATTTGTTATCCACTTCGTTTTCTTTTATATCAGCATGTTATGTCTGAACTTTGAACATTTCTAAAAATCAAAACAAATCATCATTTAGATAAAGAAACATAACCCATTTAAAGTGCACATACTTTACACACACCTTAATGTAATTGATGCATAACAAACAATAAATTCCGGCACACACACTCCATACTCAAATGCCAATCCCTGCCATTGCATACAAAACATAATTTGAAACAATTTTTAATTCTAAATATTTTTTGTTAATCATTCATTCAAAATTACTTCCCTTTGTTCTACGAAAAAAAAAAAACAACTTTGTGCAAAACTCTCCCCATATATTATTATGACACTTTTAATAGAGAGATAGCTTTCACACCTGCGATGTGTCAAAAATTAAAGGAAAGAAAAAAAAACAAAAACAATAGAATGCCGCCGCAGCTACAATTGTTTTTCTTTTTGTTAATGATGACGTTAATAGCAACAACAATTCGTCTACTCATCATATCTCAAGTAGTGTAGCCACGAAATCAAACAGAAAAAAACAGCAAAAATACACACGGAGGGAGGGAATCAAAACGGTGCTCTCATCACCAGCTATGTGTCAACTCAACCAACCGTAACGCTCTCATCCCAGATGCATCTACTTAAGAAGACACAGTCATTACAAAAACCAACAACAACCGAAAAAAAACTTACTCTTGCAGAAAAACTGTAACACAATGAAGGAAAAAATAAAAATAAACAAAATAAAACAAAAAAATCATCATCATGTTGTAAAATGATTCCCATGGCCGAAAAATAAATAAAATTAAATATAAAACAAATAACAAAAAATACCCCAAAACGACTAAGAGAGTGGATTTTGTGTGAGAGTTATTAGAGAAATTCATATGAAACGTCAGCTAGGCTCCCTACAAAAGTGGCAACGGCGGCGGTGGTGGATACAATGATGATTGTTTGTTGAATGCTGATGATGATGACACATCGTAGTGGCTAACCATGATCCCCCTCTTTCTCTCTCTCTCTCGCACAGACTTGCTGTCTTGTTGTTTTCCTCTCCCCCCACCCAACCAACGAAACAACCAAAAATAAAAAGAACACCAACAAACATCAAACAAATGAAGTCAACAAAAATATGCGAGAAATGTTAATACCACACACACACAAAACCTCACTCTCAAAAGAAAAGAAAACAACAACAAACAGCATGACTTCTTTTGGTTAGTTGGTTGATGGGGCTCTATGCGAAAATAAAGGTAAGAAATTAACGAAATTTGTGCAAAACGGAAGAAGGTGCAAAAAAACGTAGAGTGAATGGTAGATAGTGGTTAGTTGATAGTCGTAGACTTTTCTTTTTTGGGATTTGGCATATTTATTTTTTTTGGGGTTAGAATGGCAAAGCGAAAAATAAAACAACCCATAACAACAACATGACTAGAGTATTGGTCACAAATTGTAAGTTGCTTTGCAATTGGAAGTGAAGGGGCCTCCGCCAACAATGAAAGAAGAAAATCCACCCACACACTGTATTGCTCACCACTTACAGCAGCAGCAATCCGCCTGCCAACCAACCAACCACCACATATCATAAATGTAACACACCATTAATCGAGAAAATGCAAAGTGCAAGTTTAAGGCAAAACAGATGAAGGCAGAAAATAGAAACAGGTCTTTTCATGTTCATTTTTTCTGCTACAGCTTTTTACGATGAGTAATATTTTTTTTGCTTCGGCCCTACACACTCAACCTTTTGGCAAAATAGCCATCTCTCCTACTTACCATAGATTTTCTTTGTCAGCATTTGTGGCAGCATCCTTTTTCTTGGATGTAAAGGATGATGTGAGAGCAGCATTACTGCCATTCACCTGGATATCCAAAGCCATCTTCAACTGATCCTCAGCTACTTAACGAAGATGGTTGGTTGGGAAATGATGGATGGAATCAACAACACTACCACCACTTGGCAGGAACAACCACAACAACTTCCCAGCTTAAGAAAAAAGAAGCAATTGTTCCGGCAATAAGAAACACTTCTCTTCTTGGTTAACACTCCCTTTTTGCAAACTTGGTTTGGTTTTTGTATTCTCTCTCTTTGTTCAAACAATAACAGCTTCAGTTGTATTTTTACAATTTGTCTTTTTTGCTTTGACTTTTCTCTATTTATTTAATAACTTAACAATAATTTGTAATTTTCTTTAAAACTTTTTTTAACCAGCCGTGTGTTTAGTTGCGATTTTATTACTGGCTTTTTTTCGTATGAGTGTTACCGCTTTCAATTGCCTGCCCCTCTTTTGCTTATGCTTCTTCTTATTTTTTCTATTTTCAAGTCCAATTGGGAGTATTCGTTTCGTATATTTTTTGTACTTTTTTTCTTTCTTCTTTGTGGTTTTTATTCTCTTGTATTGCCTTTTTTGAACTGTTTTAAACACACAATGATGACATTCGTTTTATTTTTTCCCCTTCGTGTATTATGCCTTTTCGAAACAAAAAGTTTTTTGTTAGTTTCTTTTAGGTTTGCACACACAAAAGTTGGCAAAATTTTCCCTTTTTGTATATAAAATTTGTCAAAAATTTTAATTAGATTTCGCACAACACTTCGAGGAAAAATTACGTTCTCCTTCGTACTCAGAGAACCGAGTTACAATGCAAATGACAATTGACGGCGTTGCTGTATTTTAGTAAAGGGATCTGTAAATTGATATCAATTGTTATCGATTACTTCCCTGGGAAGTCAATGATTTGTGAGTGTTGTATAATATTTAATAAAAATGCATTATAAATGAAATGATATTTATTTGAATATATGTAATGGTGATTTTAGGGGTTGATAAACATATCAACCCGTTTTATAATAATGTTAGAATAAAATTAATAGTTTGTAGTAAAAAATAATCGATAACTTCAGTTTGTCATTTATGCGGTGTACACACTATTATTCAAGGTAGGTCATAGAAAATTAAATGAAATAAATTATGACTTTTTTCATATTGTGGCTTGTTATGCCGCAGTCGTATACCAAATGTATGACTGTGTGTGTAATGTTTTAAAAAATATATATTCTAAAATCCATGGGTTTACAGATGAATTTTACAAAATTAATAAGAAAAAACTTATGATTTGTGAATCAATATTTAAATCCGAAACCGATTTTAACCAAACTTCGCAGACATCAGTCTGCACCTATTTCAGTACTCTGTGCGGAATTTTGTCCCAATCGAAAAAATATTGGGAGTTTGGTGCATCATTCACATAAAATCGGACGAAACTATATATGGGAGCTATATCTATATCTGAACCGACATCAGTCTGGACCTAAATCAGTACTCTGTGCAAAATGTTGTCCCAATCGGACAAATATTGGGAGTTTGGTGTATCATTCACCAAAAATCGAATGAAACTATATATGAGAGCTATATCTAAATCTGAATTGATTAGAACAAAACTTCTAAATCTGAACCGATTCCGATTTGTTCCAATGGATTTGTTCCAATCGGACAAATATTGGGAGTTTTGTGCATCATTTACATAAAATCGGACGAAAGTATATATGGGAGCTATATCTAAGTCTGAATCAATTTACTTCAATTTCAATAGGGTTTGTCCTAGTGCCAAATAAGTGAACTGTGCCAAATTTCATCTAAATCGGATAATAAATGCGACCTATACAATACATGGACGACATGCGTTAATCGACTCAGAAAGTGATTCTATGCATATTCTCTAAAGGAACCATGGGCCTATCTCGATTCCTTTTGCCTTTTACAAACATATGCACAAAGACATAATACCCTGTACCACAGTGTGGTGAAGGGTATAAAAAGGCAGTTAATGATACCAACAAAACGATACCGAGAAAATATGTTTTTAATAATGCTTTTTAATGAAGGAATATTTAAAATTCTTGCCTTAGCATTCATAAGTGATTGTATGCACAACCTTTTTAGAGCCCGTATAGACTACTAAATCCATTCGATTTCAAATCTCAATTTCATAGCGTATACATTACCTTCTCTTCTCTCTGAGTCTTCTCTTTCTCACGTTACGTCTCCCATTCCCATTGTTTTCCTTTTTGCTGTTCTGTGTAGTCTACTCATTTGATGATAGGAAAAATAACATTATTTAGTCTTCTCTTTCTCACGTTACGTCTCCTCTAATTCCCATTTGTTTTCCTTTTTTGTGTCTACGCTCTCTCATTAGGTTGCCACAAACCAAACTGATTACTTGTTATTCATCTACCCAATATCAATTAACCAATTACCATCCAAATACTCTCTAGTCATATGACAGTCGATTGTCGAGTCGGATAAAGAAAAAGAAATAGAGAAAAAGTATTTTTCCTCCAAAGTCACGGAAGAAGGAGAAAAAATCTTTTTGTTTGCGATAAAACAAAAAAAAAACGGATATAACCACCATTTAAGAAGATTTCCGCATAAAGATTTCTTCTGCCACAAAACAAAATACACAATTTGGAAACTTTGTTCCGTTTGTGAAAAGAAACAAAACAAACTAAGCAAAAATGACTGGCTCGGGTTTTATGTTCAACATTGATGGTGGTTACTTGGAGGGTTTGTGCCGTGGTTTCAAGTGTGGCATCTTGAAACAATCCGACTATTTGAATTTGGTGCAATGTGAAACTTTGGAAGGTATGTAAGGCAAGATGGTGCAGGTGGTACTCCCAGATTAATTTGCAACAGGAATAATTAAAATAAATTGGAAATTTACAAAAGAAAAATTTGACAAGGGCAAGTCATGTGACATTTGTGTGTGTGCGTAAGAAAAAAAAAAATAAATACTACTATGTGATGTGTGTTAAATGGAAAGAGATGGCAATAACAAAAGTATTACTGCTACCTACATGTAGTTAATTGTATAGGGGTGAGGTTGGGGGAGGAATACACATTAAGAAATTCTGTTAACAGTCAGTCTTGTGATTGTTTTGTCATGTTTTTTTGTTGTTTTTGTTTTATCTAGTTTCCCTTATCTTGAATTACAGTTTTAATGTTTTTTGTTGTTGTATTTTACAGATCTGAAGTTGCATTTACAAAGCACCGACTATGGCTCCTTCTTGGCCAACGAACCCTCCCCTTTGTCCGTCTCGGTCATCGATGATAAATTACGCGAAAAATTGGTCATTGAATTCCAACATATGCGTAATCATGCTGTTGAACCCTTGGCCAGCTTCCTTGACTTCATCACCTATGGTTATATGATTGACAATATCATTCTGTTGATCACTGGCACTTTGCATCAACGCCCCATTTCTGAGCTCATCCCCAAATGTCATCCATTGGGTAGTTTCGAACAAATGGAAGCCATTCATGTTGCTGCCACTCCAGCTGAATTGTACAATGCCGTTTTGGTTGATACCCCATTGGCTCCATTCTTTGTCGATTGCATTTCGGAACAGGATTTGGATGAAATGAATATTGAAATTATTCGTAATACATTATACAAAGCCTATTTGGAAGCTTTCTATGATTTCTGCAAGAATATGGGTGGATCCACTGCTGATGTTATGTGTGAAATTTTGGCCGTAAGTATTTGCGTTTATAACTTTTTTTAAGTAATTTTAAATTATGTTTTTTTTTTAAATATTTTTTAGCAGATATTCAAGAAAAAAACTATTAAAGATGTTTATGAAAACGTAGAGCATGTTGATTCAAGAAAAATATAATTTGGGCTTCGGCAGTCAAAAATTACCATTAGATAAAAGAAGAATATACAGACGAGCTCAGTACAACTATTTTCTTAAAAAATTTACAAGATTTCGTTTCGTTTCTGTCTGTCCGTCCGTCCATGTATTTTTGTGATCCGATTTGGATGAAAATTGGCACAGGTCACTTATCTGGCCCAAGGACGAACCCTATTGAAATTGAAGCAAGTCGGTTCAGATTTAGATATAGCTCCCATATATATTTTCGTCCCATTTAATGTACATGAAATTTGGCACAGCGTACTAAATTGAGTCTAGAATGATGTGTGTAAAATATATTGAAAATCGGTTCAAATTTAGATATGTTCGACCGATTTAATGTAAATGGTCCCTATATATCTTTCGATTTCTACGAAATTTGGCATAGCGTACTGAACTGAGTCCAGAATAATAGGTGTAAAATTTCATGAAAATCGGTTTAGATTTAGATATAGCTCCCATATATATGTTCTACCGAATTACTGTAAATGGTGTACCAAAGTCCTTATATATCCTTCGATTTGGACGGAAAAGAATGATGGTGTAAAATTACGTGAAAATCGGTTCAGATTTAGATATAGCTCCCAAATATATGTTCGACCGATTTACTGTAAATGGTGTACCAAAGTCCTTATATATCCTTCGATTTGGACGAAATTTGGCATAGCGTATTGAATTAAGTGTAGAATGATGTGATTTATGTTTCGTGCAAATCGGTTCAGATTTAGATATAGCTCCCAAATATATTTTCTTCCGATTTTAAATAAGTGTTGCGCCAAAGACTCAAATATAGACCGATTGACAAAAAATTTAGCACAACGTACTTAAGATAGTATAGCCAAACGTGTGTCAAGTTTTGTTGGAATCCGTCCAGATTTAGATATATCTCATATTTTAGTTCATCCAATTTCATTTTAATGGCCCTTCTGTTAGGATGCATTTTTTTTAATATACTCATAGTGGCGAAGGGTATCATATGGTCGACTCTGTCCGATTTTACTACTTTCCTTACTGGTTTTATTTTACAAATAGTTTCTTTTTTTATTTATTTTCAGTTCGAAGCTGATCGTCGTGCCATCATCATCACCATCAATTCCTTCGGCACTGAATTGTCCAAGGATGATCGTGCCAAATTGTACCCACGTTGCGGTAAAATGAATCCCGATGGTTTGGCCGCCTTGGCACGTGCCGATGACTATGAACAGGTTAAAACTGTAGCCGAATACTATGCCGAATATGCTGCCCTTTTCGATGGTTCCGGCACCAATCCTGGTGACAAGACTTTGGAAGATAAATTCTTTGAACATGAAGTCAAGCTGAATGTGTTCGCTTTCTTGCAACAATTCCACTTTGGTGTGTTCTATGCCTATTTGAAATTGAAGGAACAAGAATGCCGTAACATTGTCTGGATTGCTGAGTGTGTTGCACAGAAGCATCGTGCGAAAATTGACAACTACATCCCAATTTTCTAAATTGTATTATTGAACAGAAAACGATTAGTCTCAACATCCATACACATAATGTTAGCAAGAAGGTGTTGATTGCCAATGTGAACAAGAGAACGAGAGAGAAAGAGAGAGGTGTTTTTACAAAACTTGGTTTAACACCCCCCAATCAAGTTTAACTCCTCCTCGCCCCCTTACCATCCGCTTTATCCATGTTTTATTGGTCTAAGTATTTTTTGTTGTTGTTTTATTATAATAATTATTATAAAAAAGAAAGAAAAGAGTTGTGTAGTTTTTGTTGCAACTTTTTTTTTTTTAATTTTGCTTTAACTAAGTATTCTTCCACCCCTCCGGCCCATTGTTTTTCTTTTTTTCTTGTCGCCATGTAATTATTTTGTTTTTCTTCTTTCAATGGCAGTACATTTCTATATATTTTTCAATACATTTCATAAAATGATATGGAACCGAATCATAATAACCCTACAAACAAAAATATAGATATTTACCATACCTATGAAAATAAACAAATATTGAAATTGTATACATACTATATATATTGTTAGCAAATTATATTGTAATTATGTAAAAAAAATACAAAACCTTAAATATCGTGCAAAATAATATATAAAATATATAAAACAGTTTCCAAACATTCCTTTACACAAACTTGATATTTTCATTTGAAATAGTTTCTCGCGGGGTTTTCAAAAAAAAAGAAAAACAAATAAAATAAAAAAATAACAAAAAATAAAATAATAAAAAATAAAATAAAAAATAAAATACATAAAAATGAAGAGGTAAGTTTCAACAGGATAACAAAAGACCTCATCACCAGATTCACTCCAGTAGATGAGCGAATTGCTATAATTCGTATAAAAGCGAAGTTCTTCTACATCAGTCTCATTTGCGCCCATGCTCCGGCCGAAGATAAAGATCAACAGACCAAAGACATGTTTTACGAGCGCTTAGAAAAAGCATATGATCGTTGCCCTGGCCACGACATTAAAATTCTGCTAGGAGATTTTAATGCAAAATCGGAATGGAAAATATGTTTGGCCCCACCGTCGGAAAATTCAGCCTCCATGAAGAAGCATCAGACAACGGCATATGGTTGATTGACTTCGTGGCATCAAAAAACATGGTAGTTAGCAGCACCAGATTCAAGCATCTCGATATACGCAAGGCCACCTGGATTTCTCCCGATCGAACAACGAGAAATCAAATCGATCATGTTGTGATAGACCGAAGGTATTCATTCAGTGTTTTAGACGTCCGATCGATCCGGGAAGCGAATAACGATTCAGACCATTACCTTGTGGCAGCCAAGGTACGCACCCGTCTTAATGTAGCAGCAAAGGTGCGATCTAATGTAACATGGACATTTGACGTCGAAAAGCTGCAAACACAACAGATAGCAGAAGCCTACTCCGCTCAACTTACCCATCTGCTTGACGAAAGCACTCCTTGTCCCGATAATAATATAGACGCACAGTGGCAGATAAGTAGCAACAAATAATGCGATTGAGAACTGTCGGGAGAAAAGGAGAGAGGAGAAACGTATTTTCAGAAAAAAAGAAGATAGAACAAGAAAAACGTGAGCGTGAGCAAATCGAGATGTACAGGAGTCAGAATGAAGACCAAAAATTCTACCAACGGGTAAAACATCAAACCGAAGGCTTTGGTGCAGGCACATCCTCCTGTAGAGATGAAGAAGGAAACCTGGTGACAGATACAGACCACGTGCTGAGGATCTGGAAGGAGCATTTTGAAAAACTTCTGGTATCAAATAGTAGCGGTGAAGAAGATACCCCAGAACCAATCAGAGATGATGGTATATAGTGTAGCCAAGATGAGGTAATAAAAGCAAGATGAGCTAATAAAATCAAATAATCGGCTCCAGAACAATAAAACAGCAGGTGTCGACGGGTTACAAGACAAGGAGACAAGACAATATGTACCAACTATAGAGGAATAAGTCTCCTTCCCATCGCATATAATGTGCTATCCAGTGTACTGTGTGAACGACTGAAGCCAATAGTCAATGACATTATTGGACCATAACAATGCGGCTTCAGACCTGGCAAATCCACAATTGACCAGATTTTCACACTGCGCCAAATCCTGGAAAAAAACCCACGAAGAACACATCGACACATTTCACCTATTCGTCGACTATAAAGCCACATTCGACAGCTTGAGGAACTTGAGAACTTCAGCTTCGAGGTAGTTAAAGATTTTATATACCTTGGTACCGCCATAAATAAAACGAATGACATCAGTTTTGAAATTCGTAGAAGGATTGTGATGACCAACAGATGCTACTATGGTCTAAGTAAACAGTTTAGAAATAAGGTCACCTTCCGCCAGACCAAACTCACACTTTAAAAGACGCTTATACTACCCGTGCTGTTATATGGATCTGAAGCAAGAAGATGAGGCAGCTCTTGGGGTGTTTGAAAGAAAAATTCTCCGATCTGAATCGACGGTGAATATAGGCGTCGAATGAACAATTTATATGCGGATATGGACATAGTCAGTCGTATTGAGCTGCAGCGACTACGGTGGCTAGGCCATGTTGTGCGAATGAATGAGAATGCCCCAGCTCAAAGCGAGCCTACTGATGCTTCCCGTAGAAGGGGAAGACCACAAGTTAGATGGAAAGACCAAGTAGAAAACAACATCTTGGAATGTGGTCTTTCAAATAGGAGGAGAAGCGCGCAAGACCGAGGCGCTTGGAAATGTTTTTTTAAGCTCGGCTTATGGAACAATCGTTCTGTAACAAGCCAGATAAGTAAGTATGCAGAGTGTAGATTTCTTGATTACTATTTCTTATTTCTTTAAAGCCATAACAGAGCTTTGATTTTTTAAAGAATATTTTCCAAAGCATAGTTTTTGTACACAACATTTTTTGTTGAGGATCACCAGAGCGTAGATTTTGTAATCTACACTTTTTCAAGGCTCCGCAGAGTCGATTATTTAAATAATATTTTTCAGGGTAGAGCGTATATTTTTTTAAAGAATAATGTTTAAAGTACAGCAAGTTCTGGCAAAGCGCACGTTATTTTAAAATATTTTTTCAAGGTCCAGGAGAGTGTAGATTTATTCAAGGAATATTTTTCCAAGGCTCAGCATAGCGTTGATTTTTTTTAAAGAATATTTTTTCATTGCTCAGCAAAGCAAGTGGAAGAGTATTTTCAGGGTCCATTGAATTTTTTTAAGAATATTTTTTTTAAGTTCCAGCAGATTTTTGGAAAAGTATGTTTTTTTTAATTTCCTTTAAAAATATTCTTTTGAAACCACAATTTAAAATAAAAACTTTTTGAAATATTATCATTATTTTTATTATAATATATATTTTTGTATTTCAGATATTCTTATAACTAAATTGTTGGGTTGTTGGTATACATTTTTTTTTTATATTTTTTGAATTGGAAATCTGTTTTTTTTTTCATTATACTAAAAACATTTCAAAACTTTATTTTGAGTACACATTAACTTTAAATTTTATAAATTATATTATTTTATAATTAAATTATATATTATTTTTTTAAATAAAAATAGGCAATAATTTGTTAATATTCGTTTCAAAATTTATATACTTCTAAAAACATTACAAAACTTTTTTTTGAAAATAGTTACATAAAACTTTTATTTTTAATCAATATTGATTTTTTATAATGAAAATATGTTTTAATTTTTAATATATAATTGTAAATTTTTGTAGTGTTTTGGATTAATTTAAAATGTATAATATATATAATAAAAAAAAAATCATTTTTTACGAACCAAAAAAAGTAGATTTTCTAAAAATATCTTTTAACAACCAAATTGTTTTTAATTATAATCATAATCATTATATAATGTTTAGGTATTAATTTAAAGTTTCGATAAATTAAAATGTATGATATATTTGATTAAAAATATATATATATTAGTAAAATCATTTTTTAAGATCCAAGAAAGCAATTTTTTTTATTTTTTTTTATAATCAAGATATTTATTTTGTTTTCAATAAAAGTTACAATATTGAGTTGTGATGTTAAAATTCCCAAATTTTGTATATTATTTTATTATCGGCAGTGAAGAAATTAGACAAATATTGAGTTATAATAAACATAAATAGAAAATTTCATAAAAAAGTTATATTTATTATTTTTTATAATTTAAATTGTTAAGTTTTTTTTTGGATTTTTCATTGACTGCATTGGTTTTCTTCTGTAACGAATCACATTTGTTGCTAATTTTGTTGTTTATATTATAAATTACACATATATATTTTTTAATTTGCATTATCGTTGTTATTTTTTGGGTATATATATTTGAGGGATATTAGGAGTATATATAATAAGAAATGGGATTATAGTGCAGTATTTTCCCCCATAGGGTTTTTGGTTATAATTAAATATAAATTGTTGTAATGAATTATATTTTTTATAATTAATTATAATTTTGTATAATTAATAAAAACGTTTTATAGTTTCATAATTATAAAATTATTTATTTATGTTTAATTTTTTATTTATTTTTTGTTTCATAAAATATTTTTTTATATAGTGTACATATTATTATTATTTTTTTTAATTTATTTTATTAGTAAATTTTTTGTTTTTTATATGTTAAAAAAAGTTCCAAAATATTTTATTTGCATGTTGTTGTTTTATGTGTTTTTAATAATTTATTATATGATTTTCTTTGTGAATACGTCCCTTTTTTGTTTTGTAGTTTGATTTATTTATTTTTTATCGTTGGGATATGCGTGCAGGTGATTTGTATGTATGTTTTTTTTAGTGGGGGTGGATTTTCTATTGGATATTTGATAATAAAATAATACATTGAAAACTGAATAAAAAATATAAATTTTAGTAAAATAAAAAACAAATATGTGTATATCTATATTATTGTGGAAATATATTTTTTTGTCTTCTTATTTTCTGTTAAATTATAATTAATTGTCATTACTATGTATTATTAATATCGAATTGATTTTATGGAAATTGCAATTAATTGTAATAACGCTAATGTTATTTT